TTCAAACAGAGAGAAAAATGCTTCTCATTTTATAGTGAATTTTTGTCCCTGTACATTCAATTCCCCTGCCCTGGCCCAGACAGCAGCCAATCTGCCTGCCCGCCACTGTTGATTAGAATTGTTTGTTGTAAACCTCCATATAAATGGAACTGGATTTTTGTCTTTCTCCAGATTTAGTTTCTTTTTCATAACATAATTTGTGTGTGTGTGTGTGTGTGTGTGTGTGTGTGTGTGTGTGCACGCACGCATGTGTGCATGTGTGTCTGTGCATGTGTGCATGTGCATGCGTGTGGTGTGTGTGTGTGTGTGTGTGTGTGTGTGTGTGTGTGTGTGTGTGTGTGACTCATTTGGATTTGTTGCAGATGCAAGCAATTTGTTGTTTTTGCAATGTGGAAAATATAGCTGTAAATTATTTTGTTTAACCATAGAATTAAGATTTTTCTTCTTTTCACTTTAAGACATCTTTTAAAATTAACAGTATAGGTTTAAATGTTTCCTTTCTTCCACAAGAAAATGCTATGGATTACTAGTTTCTGTCACAATACTAGGTGGATCTGTAGAACTAATCCAGCTAAGATTGCACTGAGCACTTGATCACAGTACTCTCATAAAGTAGACTGTGGACTTAATCAAAGAACTATTGTCCTGATTGCCAGCAGTGCAGCTTGCTGAGGGGTGAGAGCCGAGACCTCTCCAGGAACTGTTCATAGAAGACGGTAACTGTGAACCCTTGCATTACGCAACTCTCTGCACCTTGACTGAGAACAGAACACTGAACAACAGCTGAGAGATGGATTGATAGGAAGGCTAGTACCACCTGCTAAATGCTAAATGGTAGCTGTGATAATTTCGTAGGGTTTGGAATTATCATTAGAGCATCTTTGAACAGTGGTAAATGTGGACCTTTACCTTTAAAAAGCATTCTTTTTCTTTTTTAAGTGTGTGCACGTGTCACGAAAGTTAAAGGTTGTCTTTTATAGTTAAATGGTGGGTGCAGAGGCAACTAAGATCACACAGATTTGTGAGGCAGATGTGGATGAGTAAACTTGGAACTTGTGCCTGGGACTGAGGTCCAGTGATGTAACCAGTGAGCAGGGAGCGTGAAGTTTGGCTTAGCAAGGGGATGTTTTCTTTATTAGTCATGCTTCTTAGGAACAACATTGCACACAGAACATAGAAAATTTACATTGTGTTCAAATGTTTCCTGATATATCTAGTGTTGGTACAAACTCCTGCTGCTAAATAAGCATCAAGGCAGAGCTGACTGTTCCCCATACCTTCCGTCTCTGCTTGGTGGAGATCTTGATTTTGAAAATCATCTCCCCCAAGTCCCTGTACTGCCTACTCTTAACACAGAACTTCAAGTGCTGTGGGTCAAGATTGTTCACTTTCTTATCTGCGATCTTCTTCCTTTCTTCTTTTCCTTCCCTCCCTTTCTCCTCCCTTTCTCTTCCCTTCCTTCCTTCCTTCTCTTCCTCCTTCATCCCTTCCTCTCTCTTCCTTCATTCTTTTCTTCTGCCCCTTCCTTCCTCTCTTTCTTTTCCCCACTTTCCTCCCCTTTCTCTCTCCCTCCCGCCTATTCTTCATTCCTTCTTTTCTTTCTTCCTCCCTCCCTTCCCTCCTTTGTGATTCTTTCATTCATCTTCTTCCTCCTTCCTTTCTCCATTTTCTCCTGTCCTCCCTTTCCCCTTTCCCCCTTCCTTCTCTTCTTTCTTTTCTCTGGGCACTCTCTGCTTGTGGACAATATTGGTGACTGAATTCAGGGACCCGTGCATGCTAGATAAGGTGTTTTTCAATAAAGAACTAAATTCCAATCTTTTTACACTACTAATTGAAAAACAATCAATGTATTCCCCTTAGTGATAATTTACTAATCCATCATCATGTCTGATTATCCATTCCACTAAAATATTGGGAGACACAAAATGTCATTTTGCAATGAACAATACGTTGACTACTAGTCACATGTGCAATAGTTCACTATAACATGTTCCTCCCATCTAACTGAAACTTTGCACTCTTTTATTAATGTACCCCTTTTATAATAAGCCTTCCTTTCACACCTGACTTTGGTTATATCACTCTGTTCTACTTCATTAGCTTTGTTTGATTTTGCATACACATTCAATTCTGCATATAAACCAAATCACATTGTAACTGTTTTTCTGGTTCCTTATATTTATAATTTTCTCTAAGTTCAGTCATATTGTAGAAAAATGGGAATTTTCTTCTTTGTGAAGTGAAAGAGAATTCTCTCAGTATATGTACCATATTTTCTTTACCCACCCAATGAGCACTTTGATGCCTTATGTTCACTATTATGAATAATGCTACATTGAATAACAGGGTAGAGGTGGCATAAGAAATATTCCTTTGGAAACTTAGATATACACTGAAAAGTGAGCTTGCTAAAATATATAGAAGTCCTATTTATGTTTTTTCCTGCAGCTGTCTTACCAATTCCCACAATGACTCTATAATTTACATTCATTCCTATGGTGTACATTGTACCAACACTTGCTGTCCTCTAACTTTTATAAAACAGGCATTAGAAAAATAATTGTGATTATTTCACTGTGATTTCATTTGTACATCCCCTGATGGCTTCTAATGGCATGACCATTTTCATAAATATGATCGTATATAGGTTTTTCTCTTGAGAAATACCTTTCTAGGTCCTTTCAAGTTTCCTTCATATCTTTTTATTTTGTTTTGTTGTGTTGTAATTGAGTTCTCTGATTTCCTTCAATATTTTGGGTATGGGCTTGTAAAATACTTTTGAAGCATAAATTTTTCCCTACTTTCTAAATATCCTTTTCAAAAAAATGAAAATAACTGTTTCCAACTATTTGACCTCTTTCAGCTTCCTCCCCTGTGGCATATATAAAGTTTAAAATGCTAACAATCCTGAAATTAATATTTCTGAGTTATATATCTTCAGAGGATACCAGGATCATCATATAAATTATGCTCTTTTATCAAAATTGTAAATTTTACTTGTAGAAGCGTCATTAAAATTAAAAACCTGTAATTTTGGAGTCCTATTTATCACTTTATAAAACCATATTGGAAGCAGGACGGCAGAACTAAGGAAAGGGGCGAATATCGGGAGGGATAACTAACATATGAAAAGCCATATGAAAGGAATTTAAATGAAGACACAACATGATGGGAGAGACAATGCCCCAACTAGACATCGTCAGCCAGTAAATAGACCTCACAGTGCTGGTAATAGATTACATCTTATGAGCAGTTTCTCAAAACGGTCCTCTAGATAGTCCAGATACCACATTGTATCGTCAAGACTGTTGCTAAGAACACCATGTGCTTAGGTCATTGAACATGAGAAATAAAGCTGGTGCCCAACTAGATGCTGAACCTCCCCTGACTTGTACTCACAGTGCTGGAATGTACTTTTGCACACCACTGGAGGAGAAAAGAAATCATCAGTATCATCCAGATGAAAACCCTGAATCCTACAATGGAGACCTGCCTGCAAGATGTGCTGGGGCAATAATGGCACAAATGTTTTGGCGATAACGAGACACTTTTTGATGTATTTGATGCCCATTCTATGAGATGGAACCATATTTAACTTTTATAAAGCGGCCAAGAACCTGAAACTAAATAGCTCATGGGCCTCAAGGGAATACCTAATACTATTATTCTGCTAAAGAAACATGTACATAAAATGACTCCCAATAACATATTGCTATGTGACTAGATCAATGCATCATACAGCCCTCATCAGAGAAACTTCTTCTAATAATAGGTGGTAATTAACACAGAGACTCACAAGCAGCCAATATGTAGAAAGGTACACAGTCTTTAATGGAATATCTTTATCAGCTTTCCTCTTTCCTGTGCTGGGGAATCTATGTGGAAGAGAAGGCAGAAACATCTTCCTTGCACAACAGGGCATATACATATATGAACACAGAGAGACATATATAATATCACATGCAAGACACACAAATTCAAACCAGACCCCCCCCAAAAAAAAAATCTCAGCACTGAGAAGAGGAAGTAGCACAAAGTCCCACCCCTAAACAAGAAGCAATTTGCAACTGACACCTGCTAGAGAAGGGCAAATCAATTTTCTCCAACAGAGTGTCACTGGATATATCAACCATTCTCTAGGGCAGGCCCTATTCATAGGAGTAGTTGGATAACATGAAAAGATTCCATGTTTTCAGAAATTAGATAGCTAGAGAGGTAAAAGTGTCTGGGAGGAATTTGACAAGGGGAAAGAATGTGATCCAAATAAAGTATATAACATATTTTAATTAAAAATAAAATGAAATAAAGCCTGAAAATTTCAAAAGAATTTGAATAAAAAAATAAAAATATTACATAATTTATATCCCTAGATATTGATTAAAATAATATGCTATATGTATCACATATACATGAATCTGTGCTAAATTGCATATATATTATAGCTTTATCACACTATATATAAAAATTATATATGTGTATATAAAATTTGCAGTGCAAATGCTTCTGTCATCTGCTTGAAAACTACTGGTTTGTTTCCATACCTTTTATATGATATATTTTTAAAATATTTACCTCATTATTTTTCTCTGTGTGTGTGTGTGTGTGTGTGTGTGTGTGTGTGTGTGTGTGTGTGTGCTGCGTATGATGTATGTGTGAGTATGTGTGTGCAGGTACCCATGGAGTCTAGCAGAGAGCATGAGATAGAAATGGAGTGACATGGGGCTGTGAGCAGAACTCTTTCAGGTCTTCTGAAAGAGAAGCAGTTAAGAGGGTGCTCTTAACTGCTCAGCCACCTCTCCAGCTCTTACATGTCATTTTTATTTCTATATTAATATCAGTTTTCTCAGAAACATAGTTTTTCTCCAACACTAGTTTGTGTCGGAATTCTTGTTTCTCATTGTGAAGACTGTTTGGTTTCTAGTTTTTTTTTTTTTCCTCACGTGTACTCGGGTTAAGGATAAAGAGGGTCCTAAGTGTCCTGCTTTTGTGTCTTCCTGCAGCGTCTATCCAACGGCTCCATAGACTCAACAGATGACACCAGCCAGATAGTCGAGCTACAGGAATTGCTTGAAAAGCAAAACTATGAAATGGCCCAAATGAAAGAACGCTTAACAACTCTTTCTTCACGAGTGGGGGAGGTGGAGCAGGAAGCAGAGACAGCAAGAAAGGACCTCATAAAAACGGAAGAAATGAACACAAAATATCAAAGGGACATCCGGGAGGTAGGTGGCTCATAGCCTTCTCTGTCTTTGCTTCTTGAATGGTTTCCCAAAGGTTGTTCTGAGACGCTCTCTCCATGCACTTCCTAGAGACTGGTAGTCTTTACTTCTTGAAGACCATAATTAGGAATGTTGTTCTAGTTATAAACCTATTCAGTAAGATAGAAATCGTTTACTTACTGGTCCTTTAAATATGTATGAATGGAAAGCTTTGATATCAAGTCTCAGCTATTCTAAAGTCTTTGTGAAGATTTAATGACATGTCAAGGCTTTAAAGTTTTAAATTTGAATAGCTGTGCATGTGGAAATGAATCATGATTTTCTATAATGTTATATAGGAATGCTAGAAAATATTACTTTAACATGTCTTTTATTTGTGTCTGTAAATGCCTTGCATGAATATGCTATGAATATGTATAATATAACCTTTCTTTTTTATGTATATTCCTTTCTTGCTAGGCTTTGTATTACTTTGTCTACAAAAAAGAAAGGAAGGAATGAAGGAAGGAAGAGGGAGGGAAGAAGGAAGAAATTTAGATTTATTAAATGATTCAGCAACATTTTATTTATAATGTCTAATTATCTTACCTATTAGGATAAAACTTGAAAATTCTTCTTTTTATTTTTCTTACTTTTAAAAATACATTTTTTTTTTCCATTTCAGGAATTTCGGTTTTTGACATTTTGCCTTTTTCATTTTCACATTTTCTTTTGAAACATATCTTTGAATCTTCAAGTATGTTTCTATGAGGCTAACTAGTCAATATAGCTTTGTTTGTTGTCTCCAAATGTGTTTTTCTCTTTTCCCAAAGCCACACTTGCCCCTGTTGTCCCATTAAGAATATTTGTAATAAAGCATCTTATTGATTATGTTACTGAATGGAGGAATACATTCTTGGTCCCTTGAAGAGCTAGTTCACGTCCGCTCGTCTGTCCTTGGAGCATTTGTTTTTCTGCCAAGCACTCCCGATGTCCTCCAGTTTACCTGTTCCCCTTATCTCAGGTGATTCTCTGAGCTTTCCTTCCCCTGCCTGGGTATGTCTTCCCCTTTCAGTCTCCCATTGCTTTGCTTAAACTAATAAATGGTAATGAGCCACACACAAATCAACCGTAGGTGCTCAGTTTCATTCCCTACCTTCCTTTTCTCTCTTTTCTTCTCTTGTTCCCGGTGGTAACACCTAAAGTTCTAAAAGATGTCTCAGCAATATAAACTTGACATTCATTCCTTTCTCATTCCACCAATAAAACTCACTGCCCAGCAGTTTCATGCAATCGATATTATTACTTAGGCCTAAATCTTAGAGGTTCCATGAAATTTTCTTTCAATGCCATGCTATATTTGATTTCGTGGTAAATCCTAAAATATGTAAATCCAATATTTGACTTTTCACAGTCTCCCACAGCTTTCCCTTGTTTTGCAAAGTCATTATCTTTGAAGATGAAATTATAATACTTTACTTAGTGGTCTGACCTGGTTATGCCTTCCAATGAATTAGCTCTCATTACCTTTCTTCTTAAATTCCTTATTTGTTTCTACTAGTAATAAGAACAAAGTCATGTAAGTAGCCTGAAAAATATGTATAGTATAATACATGCTCTTTTGACCCCCTGTCGTTTGAGCCCACTCTGCTCAATTAAAGTAGACTCCTGGTGCTTGGCTGTGGATCTCTGCATCTGCTTCCACCAGTTACTGGATGAAGGCTCTATGACGACAGTTAGGGTATTCACCAATCTGATTACGGGGATAAGCCAGCTCAGGAACCCTCTCTGCTATTGCTAGTAGTCTAAACTGGGGTCATCCTGTGGACTCTTGCTTGTATTTCCAGATATTTAGTTCTATTGTTTGCATTTTAAGCTCCCATATACTTTATGTTTGCTTATCTTTCACAGTGAGGTTGTGGTATCTCTGGTTCACCCTTCCTCATGCACATTTTAAAATAACTCCTTCATATAAATAGTGCTTAGATAAAAGTGCCACAAAGTCAGGTCAGACAGAAATCATCAACTGTATTGCCAGAGATTGTTTCAGCAAGAGTTTATTTTAATAGGTTAGGTCTTCCCCTGTTATAAGTGATTGTTGTGTAAGATATAATTATACTTTTAAGGTCCCTTGTTCCCTAGGTAGCCATGTTTTAGTTGAGGCTTATGAAAAAGGAACCTATCCCATCATCCACCTCAGAGAGGAGTTTGCAAACAAGAGTTTTCAGAGTCTGACAGGTTTAAGACAGTAGAAAGTGTAACTGCCGGGCGGTGGTGGCACATGCCTTTAATGCCAGCACTTGGGAGGCAGAGCCAGGGGGATCTCTGTGAGTTCAAGGCCAGCTTGGTCTACAGAGTGAGATCCAGGACAGGTAGCAAAACTACACAGAGAAACCCTGTCTTAAAAAAAACCAAACAAACAAACAAAAAAGACAGTTGAAAGTGATACTCTTGAAAAGACCTGTGAAGGGGACTTCACTCATTGGACTTATCCTGCCTGTCTCGATAAAGTTCCTACTATGTTCTTACTATGCTATGACTCTCCTATCTAATGTTCCAGTAACATGTTTCAAAGTATTTGGATTTACTTCTTTGTTTTATAAAAAAAAAATCATCTAACTGTTAGCATATTTTAACATGGAGTTTTGAGCAATCTAAATCTATATTCCTGGATCATGGTCACTTACATTTGGCTTCAGAATAAATTCTTTTACTCTCTTTCAGTTGAGAGTTATGTTTATGCGTCTGTAGTACAGTATTTTACTCTATAGCAACTATCATACAAAATTCCAGCCACAGTGTAACTACCACTTAAATAAGCAATATTCTTTTAATCATTCTTTCCAAAAAGTTAAAATGATGTGAAAGTCCTATCTCTTAAACTCAAAGTACAGACTCTACTCCCTAAGTAATATGTTTCTGGATTTTGATCTCACAAAGTCTAATGTATTGTGAAATTATTAATAGTTAAAGAGGAAGATAATTATTCTTTGTACCCTCTCATAATTGCAGCACAGTATCGTGTAAATATACCACAAGTAAAAATCAGTCAGTGAATTAATTAAGAAAAAAACTTGGGCAATAAGGGGTAAAAAACTAACCATTCAATTACAAATTGAAATGAATTTCTAATAAATCTAAACTGAGTTGTATAATTATGTTCAGTCAATGGTTTCTGAACATATTTTTGTAATTACTTTATTAAGAAACTTGGAATTTTCATTTTAGCTGCTCTTCACATTAATAATGATCTAAAAGTAGATGGAGCTAGTCAAAGTGCAATCATTCAAAAATTATTTGTAAATTGTGCCTTGGCTCTCTACTTTTTAATCAAGAAGATATTAAGCATTCAGGGGTAATAACATTTAATGATCTTCATAGGTATACAGATAGCTTAAATTTTCAGTGAAGTATTTTAATTATATTTATTTTGTGAATGAAGCCAACTTATCTTTCTGACATCACACTTAAAATCCCTTCTCACATTTGCAAAATAATCAAATTAATGAATCTATAAGTTTTAATTTATATTAGTTGAGACATGAATTACATTTTTCATTATACTTCATAACATTACTATAGAACTATATTTATTTAATATAATAAAAAATCCAGTTATATATAAACTTCAGGTTAGGAGGTCATTGGATTTTTATGCTATTTTTGTTTTTATATAACAGCTTTTAGGAACTAGAAAAAAGCTTTCTTCCTTAGACTCTCTAAATAACACAGAGGAAAAGCTATTTCTATGACTTGTAAATTCAGATTTTATTTTTGGTAACACAGCCTGCAGTTAAAAATTGAATCACTCACATGAATCACTAAGTCAAAAATGCCATTTCAAATCTACATATGCTGACTCCTACATGGACTGTGTGCTATGTGCCTGAACAGTTAAGTGTGAACAGGTTTGTAATCACTAATTACAAAGTAGCTATTTAATGAGTGTATATTCTACTCTGGGCACTATACAAAGTAGATGAACTGTTATATCATTTAGTCATTAGTAATTATATGGTAATTATTAATAATCCAACAAAAAAGAATATGGAAGTGAACCATACAATTTTACTCATGGGTATAACATACCAACTTTCATTCCCCCCCCCAAAAAAGTCTGTCTTTTAGTTCTAAAGATATTATGATTAGAATTTAGATAGAAATTTGTGGTGATACATTGTATACCCCATAAAGCTTACCTGGGGATCAGAGGACAGAGCCAGTTAATATCACTACAGAAATTTATATATACATGCTAGATACATAATTTTCTTTTATTCCATGAAACTGGCAAATATTCCTAGGAGTCTATATGAAAGTTCACATGAACTATAGACTCACTAAATTAAAAATACAAAATAACAGAAATAAAGATTGTGAATCAACATCTTTTTAACCCTAAGTACTATGATTATTGTCTGGACTCTCTAAAACCTAGTGGAATACTGGCAACATTTTACAAAATTGTCTGGATTATTTTTGCCAAAATGATGGATTACTTTAGTTTCATGTGTTTAAATTCTAATATTAGCATAAATAACTATTCTTTTACTAGCTATTGAAGGACACAGTAAGGAAGGAATAAAAACATATTCCAGGTGAAAATAAAGTCAGACAATACGGTAGTTTCATGGGCTTGCCATAGGACATTGGTTCAAAGTGACTGACTCATAATGAATATCATTTAAAAAATTATTGTGTGGACACATGATGTGTGTGAGGGCACACACACAACAGCACACATGTGGCGGTCAGTGAACCACTTTATAGGGCTTGTTCTCTCCTTCTACCCTTGTGTGGATTCTAGGTATGCACCTTGGGTTTTCCGACTTGCCTTTGCTTAGCAAGTATCCTTATCTGGTCAGCAATCTTTCCTTCCAGCTTAGCCACTCTAATTAATTTCCTCACATTGCTGAGGATTTTGTCTGAAGTCAGTGTTTCAACAGGACCAGGTTCTCTCTGAGGGCAGTAATGAAGAATATGGTCATTGCTCCTTCAAGTCCCTGGTAAATGTTTGCAGGGCACATAGCATTATTGGCTGAGTGGCAGACTAACACTTCAAATTCTGCTATACTGTCTATGCTTCCTGTTCTCTTTCTGAGGATGCACTCACACAATTTAGGGTCTACTCGAATGCTACTTTGTTTCATCTTAATTTGACCATGGCTACATCTTATTTACTTATTAACTAACTTTCATAGATCCAGAGTGGGCACAAATTTGGAAAGAATGTTATATACCTCAATATACAGAAGTAAGAATGTATTACGGCAAGAAACCAAGAGCTTCATGGCTCATATTTTGTCCTGAAGATAAAAGAAAAGAAATAAAGGATTTCAACTCAAGAAGTACTATGATCACACTAGATCAAAAGCCATTCAGAATAGGCTTTTGGTTAGCAGCATGGTAAAGAATACCAAAAGGAAGATTGCAAGCGAGGCTCTTAGGTTTCCAAGGATGATGAGTACCTGTGCTCCCACAGAAGAGTTGAGTGTGGATATAGACACCAAGGACAGCATGACTCGTCATCTTTTAATTAATTGTTGCATGAACATAAGTTTCCAACAGCAAGTAAGTTCAAGAGGCTCACAAGAGAAAGAGAGACACAGAGACACATACACACACACCCTCTCATCTCATTTTTCTCCATCCCATTTCCCCTAAATACTTACTTTCAAGCCTTGAGCTTTTCTTTTGGCATTTTCTCTTTTACTTAAACCAAACATAAGCATATCTAATTAATATATTAGGTATGGATTTTTAGCTTGCATTCCTTCCTTACTTGCTCTTTTGTTTTGTTTTGTTTTTGCGAGACAGGGTTTTTCTGTGTAGTTTTGGTGCCTGTCTCTGTAGACCAGGTTGGCCTTGAACTCACAGAGATCTGCCTGGCTCTGCCTCCCGAGTACTGGGATTAAGGCGTGTGTCACTACTGCCCGGCTCCTTACTTGCTCTTATATTTATTTTCCCAATGTAATTATTATCAAAACCACATTCAGTGCTACCATTATCATTACTGTGTGACTACTTTTCACAATTGATCCAAGCAGTAGTTTTACATATTTTCCATTATGTACAATTTTCTGCTTGTCTAGGATCTTATTAGCTAATACTTGTTTTATTCTGTTAAACTTGACTTTTTTAAGTTTATGATAAAATCATCCCACATTCTCCAATAGTTTGATAAAATTCCTTTCAATTGTAATCAATAACCAGAAAGTGAATGCATCATCTTGACTTTGATCTCCTTAGAATCATCTTTCTCCTTTGCCTTCCTTTTCTGGTCTGTAGCCATTTCTGTGGTGGAGTTCAGCTCTGTCAATTTGACACAACATAAACTCACCTCAGAAGAGAATCTTAATGAGGAATTTTCTAAATCAAGTTTGCCTAGAAGAATGTCAATGTCGGTAGTAAAATTGCAAGTCTATCTGAGACTGCCCCATGCCTGACACAGGGGTCCCTATAAAGTAATAGAGGAAAACAATCTTGCTGGGAGTACACAAGCAATCAAGGATGTTAACTCCTGACATATGTGGATGTGATAAGTCAGCAGACTTACTTCCTGCCTTAACTTCCCTGAAATGATTGAATACAACTTGGATTGTAAACCAATAAACCCTTAACTGATTGGCATTGCTTTTTGTCAGGGTGTTGGCGAAAGAAACAGAAATGAAGTAGCACAACTGTTATCTTAAAAATTTAGGGGGGGGGAGGGAATAAAAGATCAAGGTCCCTAAAGGAAACATAGACCATCAAGAGTGATTTTCTTTGGGTGAAGGTGGGATATTCATTCTAAGCTGGAAAAAAAAGAAATTAAGAATTTGTGTGTAAATAACCATATTTGTAGATGATGGTGAAGGTAGGATTGTCCTTTCAAGGGCTTCTGTTTCTTTTGGAAATTGGGAAGAAATTGTGCATATGTAGAGTTGCAGATGAGCTGTGGACTCTGGAGAAAAACAAGAATGAAATGACAAGATGAATACCAATAATAATATAAGATTAGGATTAATAATTAAGAATGGAATAACAAGATGAATCCTGATAATCATATACAAATACTACAATCATCCCCTGGATTCCTTAAGCCATAGAACATCCAGGAGTGTCTAGAAACCATTCCAGGTCCACGGGGTTTATTCCTATAGCTAACTTTTACTAATGTCTTCTCAACAAAGATTTTTTTCTACCTGCCAACATATGTACATGTAAGCTCTTAGGAAGGTTGAAACATATTGTATTAAAAATTAAATTTAAGCTGGGCGGTGATGGTGCATGCCTTTAATCCCAGCATGGGGAGGCAGAGGCAGGCAGATCTCTGTGAGTTCAAGGCTAGTCTGGTCTACAAAGCAAGTTCCAGGACAGTCAGGACTGTTACACAGAGAAACCTTGTATTGAAAGACCAATACAAAATTTTTGAAATTATTCAAAAAATGTATCAGTGTTATGGATCTCTATATGCTCTGATAGTTTATTTTCTCCCATAGTTATGTTTTATAGAGCTTTTTAAGCTCTATTTTAATTGAAATGTATATAACTTAATGTATTCACTTCTCTTTTAATAATAATAATAATAATTATTATTATTATTATTAATTTTTCATTCTGAATAACCAGCGTAGGATCTCCAGTATCCTAGGCAACTTCTGCATCAAAGTTATGTCCCCAACTCCTGTCTTCATTTAAAAGCACTCAGGTTTTGTTTTGTGTGAAAGGCAGAATTCTGCTGATTTTCTCTGTTTTTTTTTTTTTTTTTTTGGTTTTTCGAGACAGGGTTTCTCTGTGTAGCTTTGTGCCTTTCCTGGAACTCGCTTTGGAGACCAGACTGGCCTCGAACTCACAGAGATCCACCTGGCTCTGCCTCCCGAGTGCTGGGATTAAAGGCGTGCGCCACCACCGCCCGGCTTGATTTTCTCTGTTTTAAAATTTTAATATTGTAGCATAATTACAACATTTCTCCTTTTCCCTTTCCTCCCTTCAAACTCTCCTATATACCTCCTCCCACTTTTTTTTCAAATTTCTGACATTGTTTTATTATTTCCTACATATGTGTTATATAATACACACACATCTATCATCTACACACATACTCTCTCTCTCTCTATATATATATATATATTCCTAAATATATCCTGCTCAGTCAATATAATGTCAGTTTTATGCATGTTTTCAGAGCAGGTGTTTCGGCTTAGAAAAACAGGTGATGTTCTTTTCCCTGGGAAAGACCATCTCTCCTACTCCTAGGTGTTCTCAGTGTTCTAGAGTTCTTTCTTTAAGGTTGAGGCCTCATGAGCTTTTCTCCATCTACTTTGGCATGTCCATTTGTGTCGTTCTTGTTCAGCTCACATCTGGGCAGTCATGTTGGTGAGATTTTCCCGGTATAGCTTCTGACATTCCTAGATAACACAATTTCAGAATCGAACTCCCTGATGCTCTGGTTATTTAATCTTTCTGCCTCTTCTCCTGCAATGTTCCTGAGCTTCAGGTGCGAGATCATTCTGTAGATGTTTCTATTGGGACTGGGTTCCACAGCTCTGCATTTTTTTTTTAATTTTAATTTATTTATTTTGAAAAAAAGGGTTTTTTTTCTATTTTACATACCAATCCCAGTTCCTCCTACCTCCCCTTCTACTGCCCCCCACCTCCCCTAATCCCATCCCCCATCCACTTTTCAGAGAGGATAAGGCTCCCCTTAGGGAGTCAACAAAATCTGGCATATTAAGTTGAGGCAGGACCAAGCCCCTCCCCGCTGTGTCAAGGCTGAGCAAGGTATCCCACCCCAGGGAATGTGTTCCAAAAAGCCATTTCATGCACCCAGGATAAGTCTTGGTCCCACTGCCAGGGGCTCCTCAAACAGTTTTAGCCACATAACTGTCACCCACATTCAGGGGGCCTAGTTCAGTCCTAAGCATGTTCCCCAGCTGACCGGCCAGAGTCCATGAGCTCCCACCAGCTTGGGTCAGCTGTCTCTGTGGTTTTCCCCAACATGATCTTGACATGAAACTGTCAAGAGAAGTTTCCTTGATGAGGGGTGAAGACTGAATTTACATGTGGGTATATGTACAGATGTTTATAGATTGTTGTTGGGAGCTCTGTTGGATTAGTACATTAGTGGCTATAGATTCTCTTCTAATAACTGTGACTTCACTAGCACTGAGTAGATTTTGTAAAAACTTATTATTTTTATTTTATGTGTATTTGTGGTGGTTTACCTGCACAAACACTGTGTCAGTTTCTCCAGAATTGGAGTTATAGAGGGCACTTGGCTGCCACATGAGTTCTGGCAAACCTGGTCCTCTGCAAAAGCATTGAGTGTTCTTAGCTACTAAGCCATCTCTCCAGCCCTCTGGTGGCATCTATGCCTTATTTGATGATAGCTTCAGAAGTGTGTTCACCAATTTAACAATCTCCTAGCTTTCATCTTCACTCACGGTTGTACTTCTGTCTACTTTATAATGAGCAAATTTATCTGTTATTTAATTTTAGAGCGGGAAGTTTCAAAATATGCTTGTTTGTATTCTTAGACATTCAAAAGTCCCTGCTTAATCTATTAAAAATATTTTTAAGAAAAACATGATAAAGAGACTAGGAGAGTAAAAAAATACACATGGAATCTTTTTTGTTTATTTATTTTGCTTTGTAAGACATGGGAAAGGGTTTCTTTCTTTGTGTAGCTCTGGCTGTCCTAGCACTCAGTCTGTAGACAAGGTTAGCCTCAAATTCACAGACAAACCTGCCTCTGCCTTCCAAGTGCTGGGTTTAAAGGTGTGTGTCACCAGCCCTGGCATACATGGAATCTTTCAAATGCTCTTGAAGAATGTGTCTTTACTGGACCAAAGCCATTTTTGATATCTTATTATTTCATTTAAATAAGAAAACTACCTCTGTCTGAGACTCTCTAAGTTTCTTTTGTGTTTTGCTCTGATGGGGTTGAAATCAAAGACTTGCACATGACTTTTACAGTGTTATTTACAGGCAATGGCTCAGAAGGAAGATATGGAAGAAAGAATCACAACCCTGGAGAAACGTTACCTCAGTGCTCAGAGAGAATCTACCTCCATTCATGACATGAATGATAAACTAGAAAATGAGTTGGCAAACAAGGAAGCCATCTTGCGGCAGGTTCGGTATTACTATTTTGGGTTTGGGTTGCTCTCTGTATGTGTTCCCACCATTTTTACAAAGCAAGGAATAAAATAGCATGTTTTTAAGCAGATCAGTACTTATGCTTTAAAACTTAGAATAGTGTTAATGAAGCAATTTTTATTTTATAGTTTATTTTTAACAAAATTAGAAATCACTCAGATGAAAATAAATAATGCAGAAACTATTGACTTTGGATCTAGATATGAAACAGACCCTAAGGAGTTAGTTTGAAATTACCTCACTTAATTCTAGCCTCCTCCTGCTGATTAGCTGTAGTTATTCTTTGAGTACTCTGGGGATCAAAGGCAGCACTACTACCCAAGGTCACACTTATAATAAATGTCAGGACTGGAAGATTACCCAGCTCTACATCCAAAGAAAGAGAACGGCAGTCTATAAGACAACCGTGGCTCTCTCTCTGCTTCCGAAAATAAAGTTTTAATGGAATATACACACCAAATGACTTAATCATTGTTTGTGGCTGTTCTCGTGTTACACCAGCCTGTTGGAGGAATTGAGCCAGAGATCATATGCTATACAGTCCTAAAATACAATCTGTCCTATACAGAAAAGTCATTTGTCCAGTCTCTGGAGTGTGGACTCCTGTGTGGCTATACTTCTTATGTTTCTCCAGTCCGAAGCTATGGTTTTTCAACAGGTTTTCTGTTGTCATTGTATTAGTAATGAGCTGTATTCCATTTGTTCAAGTTCATTCTCATTAGAAATTTCTTTACTGTTTGCTGCCAAAGGCAAAACGGTTGCTATTATACTGTGTTGGATTTCGGTAATTAAAACTGGCAATCAATACGTGAAATCATGATAACAGTTATTACCTAGCATAGTTAAGTATGGTAATAACTGATTTTAAATCTAGAAAAAGAAAATAGCTGATGTACAAAGTCCATATGACTCATTCTAGCTAACCTAACTCTTGACTGTTTAAATGGCGCCCTCCTCTTCGCTTTTTCAGATGGAAGAAAAGAACAGACAATTACAAGAGCGTCTTGAACTGGCTGAGCAAAAGTTACAGCAGACCATGAGAAAGGCGGAAACTCTGCCTGAAGTAGAGGCAGAACTGGCTCAGAGAATTGCAGCCCTAACAAAGGTACTGCCCCAAACCCCCAGGGTCAGCCTAGATGTATTTGCGGAAATAACTGTCTATCAAAGTGGAGTATATAATTACTCTCTGCAGGCTATGTGAAACTTGTATCAGTCAGATCTTTCTTACCTTTCTTTCATTAAAGTTTAGTTTCTTTAATGCATGTATCTTGCTTACAGTGACTTGAATGATTACTACATGAGTATGATGATTTCCTTGTCTATTTAAACACTAACAAGAAAAGCAAACTTTCATCTCACTGCTATAGTAAATTTTCTGTGGTAGTTTTTGCACATAATCAATAGCCATGTTACTTAAAATCTCAAAATATGTATATGAAACACAGCAATTTAATCAGCTTTGTATAAATGGTTTGCCATCAGAACAATGAGAAATATAATAGCTGTTGATTCCAATTATATTGTAATACGGTGAATATTGTTAGAAGAAAGAGGTCTAAAAGATACAGTTGAAAGCCATTAAGTTTTATGAAAGTACTTTTATAATTGTGTTTTCTTCTGAAGAAGTAGAAATTGAATATATTGTATTATACTGTTTTTCCATACTGTGCATTCTAAAACCATTCTATATTATATAACATAAACCCATTCTAATAGAGCCATTTTAATTCTTAAGGACCCATAGAAATCACATCCATTTCACCTGAAAAGTTCCGGTTTAATCACTAAGGCATGTTGATTTTTATGTCCACTGAAAGCTATGTACACATTCTGAATGTTCACATAACCCTAGCATTTCTCCAAGAGTTGCAGGCAGCACGATGACTAGGTACTCTAAATCTGTGAACTTGTACCTTCTAGTAGTAGAGATCATTCAAAACAATTGGTACAGCCATGGAGAAAGGGACCCAAACTCACTGTCTGTAAGAGCAAAGCAAAGAATAAGACAAACAGTTTGACATAGTTATTAAACGGTAAAATGAAATTTTTTTTTTATTTTAATTTATTTTGCAATACAATTCAGTTCTACATATCAGCCACGGATTCCCTTGTTCTCCCCCCTCCCTAATTGTTGTGCTAGAAACCTCATCCAGCTACTGAGGGATCTGGATGCAGAGATCCATGACTAGGCCCTGGGTGGATCTCTGGGAGTTCAATTAGCGAGAATGAGGAGGGTTTATATGAGCGAGAATTGTTGAGACCAAGGTTGGATAAAATGAAATATTTATATGGGAAAGCAAAAATTGGACAGAGATGAGCAAGCCTAGAGAGAGCATCAAGCTACGTGGTGAATTTTAGAGTATTAGGATACGACCGGATGAAACATTAGTCTGTTAGGGGAAGACTATTAAATTTATGTCTTTCTATGACCAGAGACCACGCCAGTAAATCACTCTGTACTTTGGGAAACGTAGGGACACAAAACTTAATATATACATACATACATATATATATATATATATATATATATATATATATGTAAAAATATTTACTAAGTTACATAAGGCTACTCAAGCATATCAATAGTATTATACTTTTTCTTGCAAAGACTTCTTTTTAAATTTCTATAATATAGACTAAGACATGCACACAGTGGTTCTGTTGTAATGTAAAGGATATAAGTAGTTTCCCTAAAGAGTTTCCATGTCAAATTTTGCTATTGTGGGATTGAATACGAAAACAGCTGGCAATACTTCGGGTAAAATACTCAACAGTATTTATTTTCCTGAACAAAATACCAAAGTTTAAAACTTTCCTAAGAAAATACAGCTTACAATGCATTAAATTGTTGCCACAAAATTAGCCACTGATGTACTTATTATCAAATATAATTTAAAATACAGCAATGTACTTACATAGCTTTAAATTAAATAGTGTTAATTACTCTTTTATGATATAAAATCCCTAAAAATTGACTCCTTTGTTACTACCATCTGGTAATTCTCCAGCACTTTTATTAGGATATAGTACATGACACAGACAGGAGCTAATTACCATGGTGGATAAACTTCCTCTGTATCTGAACTCTGATTTTTCAGTATTTCAGAAAACATTTAGCATTCTTTAAAATTCTTCTAGTAGTAAATCATTTATTCTTTGATTCCTATCACTTTGACTTCTGTCATCTTCTAGACTGACAACATATTTCAGGTGTATATGACAGTTTTTAATGTTAGTGACGTAGTTGTTTTACTTTGTGAATTACTAACTGCTAAGGTTATATCCTTAGCTTATACCATGTCTATAACATGAGAGTATGACTCAGTTCCTTTGAGCACTAAAATGTGCTCAACCATCTTGCACTCAACCATGGATTTACTCAAAACCACCCGAGATAATTTAAACAATTTGTTTTATTTTATTCAATTTAAATTATCTCTCCATATATGGTTATTATTATCAATGGTCTTTTTTCTACACATTGTGCCTTCTACCATTCTAAATTTCAAACAGTCTGCTTAGCTTAAGTCTTGGATTTTTGTCTCTTGTGTTTTAAAATGATATTTTAAACAACTAATCAAGTATTTAATTTGACATATATGTAAATATACATATACCTGTGTATGTATGTATCTTTTTATTTTTTATCTATCTATACCATATCTTTATTTTTAGGCTTGTCTGCTACTACCTTTATTCACCATTCTGATTGTATTCACATTCTTCTCATACTAATTTCTGTCATTATTTGGCAAAAACCTTAACGCATTTAAAATTTCCCTCTATCATACTAAAGAGTAAAATCAAGATGAACTCTTCAAGTACAAATAAAAGCAGACTGATCTAGAGTAGTACTTGACTTGTGTCTGCTGGTACAACGGTGCTGTCCCCAGGTCTAAGGGCAACAATGTATAGTACTGTTCGATAAAATCTGCCCCCTGTATTGCTTAGAGAGGATGACTGAATTTATTCTTTGGATTCTAAAACTGTTTTTTTTTAATCATCTAGATAAGACAGATATGCAAAGTAGGCAAAGCTCATTTAAAGCTTTTAGAAAGAATTCTTGATTAATGGCTATAAATAAAAACTAAATTTGATGTTTATATATAATTAACCATCAAAGATCATTCTGGACTCCCAATGTTATGATTTGTTATATCTACTTCTTTAATTACAATCCATATTTCCTCAAGTAGGACATAACTCATCTTGAATTTTATGAGGTATTCCATTCATTTTAGCACTAATAAAAATTTCAGTAATAACATAGTTTAGAGATGACAGTTCTTGTGTTTTGTATCTGAAGTGAATTTTCTCAAAGTTTTTGCGTGTTCTTCAGTGAAGAAAAAAACATGATGAGTTTTAAAGAGTTTTAAAAACCTATATTTTTAAAGAAAGACTTCTAGAACTTCAAATATCCATATCCCACTCTTTTGAATCAATCACTAATTTGATTTTAATGACTTAAAGGACTATAAAATATACAGGCTCATTGTCAAATTTAGGTTACACAATTTCAACAACCTCTTTTCTGTATTTTTTTTCTTAATAGGACTTGCAAGTTTTAAATGGTATAATAACAGAGGGACGGAGAGATTGCTTATGGAAGACCTGAGTTCAGTTCTGAGCACCCCTACCCTCTTCCTGCCTTCCATGGCACTGCAGTTGCATACACTAACCCACACACAGAAGCACACATACAAATATGATTAATTAAACTTAAAAATAATAAATTCAAATTGAAATCATACAAAACTCATTTGCTTGCGTTTGAGCATCGTGATAGCTTTTATTGCTGCTTCTATTTGGAAACCTGTGTAAGACACTGGGAGGAAATTGGGATGATCTATGTTTATAAAATAAATTCAAGAGACAGGAAATACTAGGATAGATAAATGACAAATTATAATTTACGTGAATACAACATATTTGAAATGTTAAATGTTACTCCTTAAGTAAGTTTGAATTTGTTGTGTAAAGTAGCACGAAGGCATATTAACTGGTTACTATTCCTTTTCAGTTATTGCGTGATATATTTACATGTAGTCCTGTATTATTTAAAAGTAAGGTTCAGTACTTCCAAATGAGCTAACACTTTGTCAGAGTATGTTCTAGAGTTGGAATTGCATTACTGACGTAAGATATTTTTGGTGTCGTAACTATTTAACTTGTAATTATAATTCAAATGTTGATGTAATGTTGTAAGTACTTTGTGCATAGCATACTAATACAATTCAGCTATCAGCAATGTCCCATATATTAACACTCTACACCTGTGGTGTCCTGACAGCAAGACACGTAACTAACCTCAGTACAAGGCAGCCATTAGCTCACAGAGGCTCTGTTTCCTAGTCACTCTAAGGCAAGGTTCTCTTTCCATAGTAACAAATTAATTCAGACACTCTTTTGATGTGGTCTTCATATCATTTTTGAGCCTTCATAAAGTTTTTTGTCCTTATGACATTATTATCACCGGATAAGTTGAGAAATTTTAGTATTTAAATTACACTTGAGGACAAGTCCATTGTTTCCAGGGGTCATTTTTTTTTTAATGTGGACCACTGTTGCTAAGGAAACTCAATCCTGTTTGAGTTTATTCATAATAACATATCCTGGGGCTTAGTCTTATTTCTGACTTCTACATGTGAGGCCTTATATATTGTTGATCCAAATATGACACCCTTGAGACATAGACATATGACACTCAGAGAGTTCTCCTTGAGATGCAAGGTTTACATCATTTTTTTCTAGTAGTGTGAAAAAACAAAAGACAAAATGTTTGAGCATCTATCCGAGACATTCTAGTGTTTGGTTTCTCATAATCCCAGTTATTACATGTCATTTCCAAACTTGCTTTAACTCACCTTGTAAAAGTCGCTCATTGCCAGCTGTCACTAACACTCCATACCTCAGGTCCTCAGCTTTTTATTTGAGCATATCATTGTCTTTCATTTATAACCATCAACTGCATTATATTCACTAGATATCAGAATAGTTCCTTCTACATAAAATTTTGTCTATTAAAGTATTGGGTTTGCTGTCACTTTTATTTTAAGCATTCTGTACTATGTTCTGTTTGGTGTCAGTGTCTTTAGTTCTGATTTTTTCAATTTTGTCCCCTCTCCTTTTCCTTGACTTGTTAGTCTGATCCAACCTCTTCTACCTCATCTGATGATTATCAATATGTTATGGAAGCTAAACTCCAAGAAATGATCTCCATACGTAGGAAGGTAGTCCTACTGGACTTTACTTTCTATCGCTAAATAGAATCCATCTAAGTTTTTTTTTCTTTTCATTTATAAAAAATATGTTACTTTTATTTATTGATAATCGACCATCTGTGCAGTTCAGTGCTTCAGGAGCTTAAGATTGGACAATGGCAGGTTTGTGTTCAAACCATGCACAGTCTGCATGTTACATTTGGCTGAAATCATTGCTCATAAATAACTCCAGTGTTTTGCTGATGCTTGAATGTAACAGGCCTTTGTAGCTGACACATTTCAAGCAATGCTGTTCAGCTGCCTGTTTAAAGAAAGTTTATTTTTGGAAACTATGTTTGCGGTTGGTAGTAGCTTGCTTTACATTTTATTTCAGTTTATTTAGATGGGAGGAATTAACTCCTCTTACATTTTAGGTCCACTCCTTCGTATTTCTTAACAGGCTGAAGAGAGGCATGGAAATATTGAAGAACGTATGAGACACCTAGAAGGTCAACTGGAAGAGAAGAATCAAGAACTTCAAAGAGTACGTATGAAGCTTTTCCCTCAATCATGACTTTTTGAATGCACAGACTTCATATTTGAGGAAAACACTCTTAATTAGAAGCCATGTTTAAAATCATGGTTATGTTCTGGGCTTTTGAAAGAAAATAGTTTCTGCAAATGTAATCAAAAACATGCGTAAAATTATACTCAGTTAAAAACCAGTGACACTCTAAAATGAACCTTGAACAGCCCTGAGTATTTTCTTTTCTCATGCCAAATATATTTTTGCTCTTTTTCTTAACTATAAGGCTAGGCAAAGAGAGAAAATGAATGAGGAACACAATAAAAGGTTATCTGATACCGTGGACAGGCTTCTGACGGAATCCAATGAGCGTCTTCAGCTGCACTTGAAGGAAAGAATGGCCGCTCTGGAGGAGAAGGTAGAGTTGCAGACATGGGGTGAAGCGCGTGGATGGCTAGCCATATCGTCTAGGTTGTGGCGTTTTCCTACCCTGCTGTAATCATTGTTTGCGTCAGGCATTCAACTGACTTTCCTTAGTCTAAAACTACTTCATAGAGTCTTCGGAAGTGAATCAGTGATTTCAATATAATACTATGACATCGTGTTTTGAATGAGTAACTATATGACACATGATAAATATTATATATGAATGTGCTTGTAAGAACAAAATATATTAAAATACGCTGTGATTTGTGATAAAAATTTCATTTATCTTTTCATTATTTGCAAAAGTCTACTAGAAAGACAAAGAAAAATATTGAGTGTGGGTGTGCTTGAAACTAGTGAATGTTGAATCTAATAACTACCAGCACTAAAAGCCAATGTATAAGAGATTATGACAGCGAGAGGATTATTGCTATTACCAGTAGAGGGTTTAGAAGCCTCTATTTCCAACTACATTGTTTCAAGAAGTGTGCTTATGTTCAGCCTGAAATTTTATTCACAATCATGTTTGTCACATTAATAACTGGAAACTATCACACCAATCAGAATTGTTAGAGCTAGTGGCCAAACCCAGACTTAAACCAGAGAAGTAATCATTTAAACCTCAGGAGGACAAATTATTTCAGAAATCTAAACAGAATTTCAGTCACTATCTTATTTAGGCATTTTCCACTGACATAAAATCAGGAAAGGCAGGGAAATGTTTTAATGAAATGTTAACGAATTTTTATTTATTGACACATTAAGAAATTAAGCATGTTGCTAGTGGCAGGCCTGGTACTCACCACTTATCATTTGAAGAATAGCTTAATTATTTCCCATTTAAAACATAGTCTGAGAAGAACTGGAGTATTAGCTCTGAGGGTAATATTTAGTCTGTTTATCTATCCAAGTGTATCAAGATAGCACTTCTCATTTAAATAATTTATTTTGCAAAACGTTGAGTGTCACTTTTAAAGATTTCAATGGAATTTAGTTTCCATAGAAACCAGGAAATAAATTTACCAAGGAAAGAATTCTAAAAGATTCTTGAGTGCTAGAGAATGCATATACAGATTTAAATATTTTCAGCATATTGCATCTTTCTTTTTTCTTTTCCATAGAATGTTTTGATTCAAGAGTCAGAAACCTTCAGAAAAAATCTTGAAGAATCTTTACATGATAAGGTATTATGGAAAAAATTTTGCCATTTATCTTATTCACATTGATGAATATATTGTGAAATAAATGTGATAAAAATAATTTTGTGTTCTACTCAAAAACTATTTTAACTTTGTTTGCTTATAGCAAGGCATAAATTCTTGTAGAAATTGAACAGTTTTTAGTATTGAACACACTGAAAGCCAGTTCTGGAAACAAAACTCTAATGTTAGCTTATAATCACTAATTAATCACTGCCTCTACTAATAAATTTGGTCTTGTTTTGGCTTGGACCTTATATAAATAAAACAAAAGTATATTTACTAAATTTTATGTAGTTTGAGAAATTATTTCTGCAAAAACAATTCAAATACCTATTATACAGAAGAACTGTGTCATTAAATATTTTACAGCATTATCCTACTTCTAAGGTAATTGAAAATCTAGTAGAAGAAGCATGTCTTACAAAAAGTGATTTATAATTGCAGCAACCAAGGGCCAATATGGTGAGATTCACCTGAGCCGCAGGTAGTAAAGATTACAGTACACTGATTGTATAAAGAAGGCTTTGGGGACTCAGGATGTGACTCAAGATTCAGGCAATGACAGACGGTGCTGAAGACCTTGTAAACACCAAGCACAAAGCCTTGCTATAGGTGTCTGTTAGTTCTGAAGATTATTCATAAGTGTGATACTTTAGAACTGGATAGGGATTTGATGAGGACCAGCCGTTCATATTGTAGGATATGTGACTCAATTGCCCAACAAAGCATGGATTATAAAAAAAAATCTTAAAAGTTGTGACAGTAATACATAGTTTCCTACTTCATTTGCCTTGCTTCCTTAAAACTTCATTTAAAATGTCAGCTTAATATGCATCCTCTAGTTGGTAGCTGAAACACACAAAAAGGAATAGTGGAAGAGAAGGTTGAAAGGGCGTGAGGAAAGGAGAGAATAAAAGAGAAACAGAAAGGAGATAAAAGGGAGGTAGGCAGAAAAGAATTAAAAGTTTATCAGCAGCACAATAATACATAAGGTACTGAAAACATTACAGGAAAAGGACATTTAACAGTTTTCTAGGATTCTATATATTTTTGTGATCATTGAAAAAAATATAATCATTTGGTTCTATAGTTGGAAAGTCTGTACTCCTCTAATATAAAGTTTGATACAACACTATAGCAGTGGTAGATAAAGGATGGCATTGCATTATTACTGAATGTCTAATAAAGACTTCACAGAGGAGATCATGTTTTAGTAGGCTCTTATACACATGTAGTGGACAGCTAGTGGTCCAGGGGGAGGTTGGACCCTATGGAACAGCACAGAGGAACCAAGGATGAGTGACTAAATGAATCATCAGAATTTTGCTGGAAGTACCATGTGTGTAGTGAAATAGTTCTGACCAGATTGTGAATTTTGGACTTGATCTTGTTATGCAATGTTAAGTTATTTAAAGTTATGTGGGCCCCTGGCAAGATCCTCAAAACCTACTCCCCCAACACCTACTCAAGCCTGTAGCTGCAACAATCTGCCCAAGCAGCCAACATTCCAAGTCATCTTATGCATTATGTCCTTGCTAATGTCAATCTCCAGAAAAGGTATTCTTAGACCAAACTTCACTGTGGGACTGCCATTCCATGCAGCCAAGCATACTCTCTGATCTTAGTGCATCTATAATTGTTCAACTGTCCGCTCAAGTGACTAGGATCACAACCCATCATCAACAATAACTCTTACATATCAAGTCTTCCCTGTTTTTCTTTTTAATTTTTTGTGACTTTTATCTTTGAAATCCAAAGTACTTACATTCTTCCTGTTCAGTCCCTAGCAGATTTATTTGATCTCATGGATATCAATACCTCTATGAATTAAGTACTTTCATATTTAGATCACCTACCATGTACTTTTCCAGGAAGAAGTTTTATGTTTCAGTGCTAACTCATGTTATCATTTAGATACACACACACACACACAAAAAAAAAAAAAAAAAAAATCCGATTTAACATATCAATTTTCCACAGTATTACCATACCTGCCCCTGACTTGCCCATACCAAGCACCACTGCCACCTAACCTGGCCAAAATGACCAGTAATCTTCTGAGTAAATCACATATAGCATCCTTTCCCCCCTTATTCATGTCACAAAAACTAAACTTGAAGCTATTGATAACGTTTGTGTTTATATAATTTTCCTCTGTCCAACCTAGTAGGTAAATTCTGATACTTCTATCATCAAAACATAATAAGAATCTATCCATTTTGTCCCAATAAACATTTGTATCCACTCTCATGATTCTGTTTATAATTTTTGGAGAGCTCCAGATAATTGTGTTTCTCCCCTGCCTCCAAATTTCATGCAACCCTTTATTCACAGCTGCTGCAATGTTCATGGAATAACGCTCCTCTGCTCAGATTCCACCCCCTCCTTTGTTCCTTTTCCTATTCATAATAAAAAGCCAGATAGTTTTAAAATGCATTAAGGGCCTTTCAGAACAGCCAGCTGCCTTTTCCCTTCACTCAGTGGTAATCTTACTTTAATCCATACCCCACCTATGTTTTGCCTTGACGTCTCTAGCCCACCAACCCTGGGGTTCTGTCCTGTCTCACCAAGTATAGTTCTAGCTGCAATGTTCTTTCTAATATGTTCTCATGTTTTATTCAGGACTTCACTCAAATGCCTTGTTATGTGGGGCATACATGAGCTACAAAGATGGTGTCGAGGGGAAATATCATCTTTTCATAATTCTTCTGTTTTCTTCTTAACAATATAATTTAGTTCTGCATTTTATTCATCAGTTGTCTGTTTCTACTAAAGTACATTAAGTAAAAGGCAGCTCATTCCTTGTACACCAGGTGTGCAAAAGAGAAACTCAATGAGTACTTTTCTGAAAATGAGGAAAGTACGTAATTAAAAAAAATATTTAAAGCCAAATTTTTATTTGGATATCTGTAGGTTTTGAAGTGATGCTAGAAGAAGATATTGAACCTAATAAACAATTTACAAAACTGTCAAAGGAGCTTAGGGTAAATAGGATCGAGATCCTGAAAAAATATAAAGAACATGTAATAGAAATATCACAGATCCCACAATATCATTCTGTTAGCTGCTTTTCAATTGCTGTGAAGATACATCCTGTCCAAGATAACTAATAAAAGATGGAGTCTGTTAGGGCTTACAATTCCAGAGGGTGAGCCTGTGATTGTCATGGCAGATGGCATGAAAGCAAGCACAGACATGGCATTGGGGCAGCAGTTGAGAGTTTAAATCTGATCCACAAACAAGAAAAGGACCAACAATTAACTGGAGTACTGTGGGCTTTTGATACCACAGAGCCCACGCCCCAATGACATACATCTTCCAAAAAGCCACCTCTCCCAATCCTTCCTCAACAGTTCCACAAACTGGAAACAAAGTATTCAAATTGATGAGCCTCTAGGGATCATTGTCATTAAAACCAGCCATAGTATGGAAAGAAAAAGAATATGAATCAAATAAAATGTAAGAGTTGAATACTGAGAGAGAAGCTATAAACACTAAGGGCTCATTAACAAGCATAACAGAATCAGTTATTAAATTGTTATGAAGTAAGTTCATGAGCACTTAGCTAAGAGCTGTGAGACAACTCCAATCTTCATAAACTTACCCACTGCAGTATTTAATACCAGTCAGAAAAAGTTATAGGTAGACAAACAAAAGCAGGCCTGTAGTTAGGTTATTGACAGCCAGCCAATCTTTCATGTTGAGCCTTGCCCCGCTTGCAGGGCTTCAACGGGTTCTCGACCACCCTAAGGACGGAATGATAGAGACAGGAGATACAAGGAAATACACCAAGTCTAGATTCTGATCAAGGTGCAACTTTATTTTTCTCCAAGAGGGTTTATATAGTTCCTGCAGGGTGGGGGGAGCAAGAAGCTGTTATCTGCATAAGGTGGGGCAAGCTAACAGGATGTTTGTATAGGATGTTTACAGGGTCTGCCTCCATGTCCTGTTGCTAGGCAACCTGACTGTAAGATGATCTAGTTCCCTGTCTTATTGGGGGTCTGTATTTTTCCACTAACTAGAGATTCTATCCTTGTCCCTGACAGAGCCTTATAATCATAAGTATATTTTATTTATTCATTTATTCACATCTCAAGAAAATTTAAAAGTTGGGACTCTTGGCTTCCTTTTATAATGGAATTCTCCTTCTTTAAATCCTTGTTCTTTACTGGTGTGCCCTTCAACCTTGATGGAAAAAAATGGAAATTCTGACTTTATAAGTCAGGATTCTTTAGAAGAAAAGAACTGATGAAGTGAACACACACACACACACACACACACACACACACACACACACGGAAAGGGGAGCTATTAGAGTGATTTACAGGCTGTGATCAAACTGATCCAACAGTGACTACCTGTCAATGGAAGGTCCAAGAATCCTGTCAGTCTACATGGCTCAAAGTCTCAGTTTGTCTTCAGTGCACACCGAGACCCTGAAGTAGGCTCTAAAGCCAGTGAAGGTACAGACTTGCCTTGGAGAGTGAGAGAAAGCCTGTAAAGAACAAGCTTCCCTCTTAAATGTCCTTTATATAGGCTTCTATGAGAAGAGGTGGCCCAGATTAAAAAGGGATCTTCCAAACTCAAAAGATCTGGTTTAAAAGTAGGTCTTCTCACTTCAAATGAATGAATTAAAAAACAACAACAGCCAAAGATTACTTCTTCACAGGGGAACCCAGCCTCTTGGGTTTTCGTTAATTCCAGATGTAGTCACGTTGACAACCAAAAGGGTAGTCATCACATTCACTTCCTGCATAAAGATGATTTATTTAACTTAAAACTAGATGTGATTTGTCTTTTGTATTTGAGTGACATATCTATATTCATGATTTTAATAATCTCACAAATTTGCAAATATTTAGGATTGATAAATACCAGGGAATAGAGGTGGTTTTGTTGACTTCTGTTATTGCCATATTCATTATGAAAGGTGAACACAAGTATATTTTCTATTTATATCCAGTCTTCTTTAATAAAATGTAATCATTTTCCCTTTTAAATATCTACTTATTTTTCACAACTGAATGCTGATACACTGGCTGTGACCATCATCTGAGTAACTGCTTTTTGATTTTTAGGAAAGATTAGCAGAAGAAATTGAGAAGTTAAGATCTGAACTTGACCAAATGAAAATGAGAACTGGCTCTCTAATTGAACCCACTATATCGAGGTAACATTAAGTTAAATGTTTATTTGTAGTTCAGCAAACATCAATGTTAATTTTCTTATATTTTTCTTCATTCCCAAGTAAAATAAGGGTCTCATATTTCTCAGTAGACATTGTCATATTTTTAATCTACAAAATTTGTTTCTGAATTTAGAGATAATTTTCTAATTTGCAAATCATCTTTGAATATGTGCAATCAAAATATGACTGAAAATCTTTTGTGTTCTATGTACATGTATATAGTTATAAATGCACAAACAATTCTTTTTTTCTTTTCTTTTTTATTAAGAAATTTTCTATTCATTTTACATATCAACCACAGATCCCCCTCCCCTCCCTCCTCCCACCCCCCAGCCTTTCTTCCCATCCCAACCCCTGTTCCCACCTCCTCCAAGGCAAGGCCTCCTGTGGCATGTCAGGAGAGCCTGATACACTCCGTTGAGGGAGGCCCAAAACTCTCCCCCTGGACAAAGGCTGTGTAAGATGTCCCTCCATAGGCAGTGGGCTCCATCCCAAAAGCCCACTTACACCCTAGGGATGGATCCTGATCCCAATGCCAGTGGGCCCCTTAAGCAGATCTTAAATTAAAAATAGAACATACATATAGAGATTGTACCGTATTTCAAGAGGAGATAATAAATTTTTCTTTTTGTTTTCATTAAATTGCTTTTTCCCTTTTATTGAAAATGTATCTCTTCTCACATAATATATCCTGATTATGGTATGGTCTCCCTCCCTCTACTCCTCTTAATTCCTCTCCTTTCCCATCTGGATCCACCTCCTTTCTGTCTCTACTTAGAAAATAAAAAGACTCTAAGAGATGAAAATATATAATATTATAAATTTAATATAATAAGATAAAACAAAAACTAACACATTAGAAGAGGGCAAAGAAACAAACAAAAGGAAAGAAGCTCAAGAAAAAGCATGAGAAATATATAGAGATGCATAGAATCATAATATAATATAATATAATACATTATAATATAATATATATATATTATCCTAAGGATCCGTGCAGGTCCTATACATGCTACTTCAGTCTCTCTAAGTACATACATGTATGTATCAATCCTATTGATGTTAGAGGGCCTTGTTTCTTTGGTGTCCTCAGTCTTCTCTGGATCTTCAACTCTTTCTACCTCCTCTTTCATTGAGTTCCCTGAGCCCTTAGGGGAGGGACTTGATAGATGCATCCCATTTAGGGCTGAGTATTCCAAGATTTCTCATTCTCTGCATATTGTTTGGCTGTGAGTCTCCATATTTATCCCCATCTGCGGCAGGAGGGAGCTTTTCTGATGATGGCTGAGCAAGGAACTAGTCTATGACTATAGCATAATGTCCTTGGAGTCATTTAATTGCTACTTCTTTTGGTAGAACAGTAGTGTTTGGTTTTGCCCTAGGTCAATGGGCTATTCAGTGTCTGGTTCTTGATCACCCAAGTGGCATCAGGTATGGTCTCATCTCATGCTCTGGGCCTTGAGTCAAATCAGATGTTGGTTATTCCCACAAGTTTTGTTCTACCATTGCACTAGCATATCTTGTAGGCAGATCACCACTGTAGATCAAAGGTTTTGTAGCTAGGATGGTAGTTAAATTTTTCCTTTGATAGTGTGCAGAGTAACTTCTTATGCCAAAAATACTAGAAGCTGTAGGTGAAGGCTCAGTGTAGGCACCAGTTCAACTCTTCCATGTTTAATGAGTTGTATAGATATTGTCTTCAGCGTTAGGGATTTGCTGTCAGTTTCTGGAGAGCAACCTAGCTACAGTCTTGGCAACTGCCTGGGTTGTTTGTAGTTCCCATGAACCCTTTGGCCAACAATTCAATTAGAGGTAACCCAATCCCAGTACTGGAAGCTTCATTTGGTGACAAGAGATGTCCAGTTGGGGCTCTGTCTTCCCCATTATTTGGCAATTTCCTTCATATATATATATATATATATATATATATATATATATATATATATATATATATATATATATATATACACACACACACACACACACACACACGTGTGTGTGTGTGTGTGTGTGTGTGTGTGTGTGTGTGTGTGTGTGTGTGTATGTGAATGTATGCTGTGGTTGATATGTTGTGCACCTGAATAAACTTACCTGAGGGTCAGAGAACAGAAAAGCCACTATATTAAACATAGAGGTTAGACAGTGGTAGCACACGCCTTTAATTCTAGCATTCTGGAGGCAGAGATCCATCAGAATTTCTATGAGTTCAAGGCCACACTGGAAAGAGCCAGACGTGGTGACACGCACCTTTAATCCCAGCACTTGAGATCTCATGTCTTTCTTGGGAAAGACACATGCCTTTAATCCTAGGAAGTGACGGCAGGAAGCAGAAAGGTATATTAGGGCATGAAGACCAGGAACAAGAGGCTTTTAAGCTTTTAGGCTTTTAGCAGCAGTTTCAGCTGAAATCCATTTGGATGAGGACTCAGAAGCTTTCAGTTTGAGGAAACAGGATCAGCTGAGAAGTTGGTGAGGTGAGGCTGTGGCTTGTTCTGCTTCTCTGACCTTTCAGAATTCACCCCAATACCTTGCTTCCAGGTTTGTTTTTATTAATAAGACCATTTAAGATGCATGCTACAGTATGCATATATACACATATACCTATATACAGATATGAGAATATATGTGTTTATATGCATATATGTGGAGACAAATTTCTAAATGGTATTATTAAACAAAAAATATGGAGCCAAATATAGGGATGAAAGCCTTAGAGAACAGGGAAACAGGAAAAGCCACCAGCCAACCTTACCTCATCAACTCTGCAGCTTCCAAATGCAAGTTACCTCCTGTGTACCCATGCCTTTATATGCCTTGCTTTTCTGCCCTCTCATTGGCTCTTAGCCCAGCTACCTCACTTCCTTGTCACTGCCTGTCTATACAGACCTCCAGGTCTCTACAGTTGGTACTGGGATTAAAGGCGTGTGTCACCATGCTTGGCTCTGTTCCCTAGTATGGCCTTGAACACACAGCAACCTTGCCTGTTAAGTGATCGGATTAAGGGCGTGTGCTGCCTGACTTTGTTTACTTAAAATGGCTGGCCTTTGTGCCTTGATCTCCAGGCAAGCTTTATTTATCAAAGCACAAATAAAATATCACCACATTTCAGCACAAATAAACTAATACCACATATATGTATATGAAGATTCTACTATATTAGGTCTCTATACTACTACCCATCAAGTGGTTCTTAATTACAGCTGTCTCTTACCATATTCCCTCCCTCATCACATCTTCCCTACCCTCCTCTCTTGATCCAGTACCATCTTCCATCCATTCATAACTAACTATTCTATTTCCCTTTCCTATGGAAATGTATCTGTCCCCCCTTAGTCTCTTACTCTATACCTCTCCTCTGTGGCTTTATGGACTGCAGCTTGGTTATTATTGCTTAAGAACCAATATTTACATTTAAGTGAATACATACCATGTTTGACTTTCTAGGCCTGGTTTACCTCACTCAGGATGATTTTTTTTTCTAGTTCCATCCATTTATCTGAGAGCTTCATGATTTTAGATTATTTTAACTGCTTGTTAGTATTCCATTGTGTAAATATACCACAATCTTTTGATCCATTCTCCTGTTAATGGGTATTTAGGTTATTTCCAATTTCTGACTATTATGAGTAGAGTAGCAATGAATATTATTGAGCAAGTGTATGTCCAAGAGTGGTATTTCAAGATCCTGATGTAGATTAATTTCCAGCTTTCTGAGGAATCATGACACTGATTTCCATACTGTCTGTACAAGTTTATCCTCTCTCCAGCAATGTATGAGTCTTCCTCCTCTTACTCCCTCTTCACTAGCATGAATTTTTGATTAATCTTAGCCATAGTGAAGGGCGAAAGATGAAACCTCAAGGTAGTTTTGATTTGCATTTCCCTGATGACTAAGGACTTCGAACATTTCAAGTATTTCTTAATCATTTGACTTCCTTTTTTTGAGAATTCTCTGTTTAGATACTTCATTTTAATTGGGCTGTTTTCTTGATTTCTGCTTTTTTGTTGTTGTTGTTCTTTATATGTTTGGGATATTATCCCTCTATCAGATCTGTAGCTGGCTAAAAATCTTTTCCTACTTTGTAACCTGTCTCTGTCTGAATGACGGTGTCCTTTGCTATGCACAAGTTTCTCCGTTTCACGAGGTCCCAATGATTAATTGTTGATCTTAGTAACAGTGCTAATATTGTTCTATTATTTCTTGTGTCAGTGAGTTCAAGGCTATCACTTTCTCATCTATCAAGTTTAGGGCATCTGGTTTAATGTTGAGGTCTTTGATCCATTTGGAGTTGAGTTTTGTGCAAGGTGGTAAGTATGGATCTATTTGGATTCATCCATAGGCATCGAACCAGTTTGACTAACACCTTTTGTTTTTAGATGGTTTCTTTTTTTCCACTGTTTATTTCTGGCTTCTTTATCAAAAATCATGTGTCCATAGGTGCATAAATTTATGTCTGGGCCTTCAGTTTGATTCCACTGATTGAAGTGTCTGTTTTTTTCTTAATGTATCCAAAGCAGAAATGTGACAGATCCTTATAGTGACTGAAGAAATATTTTCTTGTTTTAGTCAATTAAAAATTAATATGGGAACTGGAGTTACATATGAAGAAAGAAGCATTCAGTGGAGTTTAGCCATGCTCACCTCTTCTATCATACCATAATTAAAGAAAGAAGACACAAGATTATCAGTTAGTAGATAGATGTATATATATGATGATAGATAGCTCCATTTGACAATAATATATATATAATTTGGTTTTTCTCTGTTTACTAAGACAAAATGAAATTTATTCAGCTATATATTTTTTAGGAAGCACATAATGATAACATTTGAAACTTTTGTCAATAAATGCTTTACAGAACTCCACTTTTTTTTTGAGAATAGTATCTCCACAAGAGCAAAAAAATATGCCTGCTTTGCTAATAAGTGTGTCCATGGTAAAATGAATGATTATCTAGAAATTCATGTTTCACATGACCAGATAAAATCTAAACTAAAAAGTTCCTATTGGGTAGGTTAGAAAGATAGCTCAGCATTTTAAGATAATTTTTTGATCCTGCAGAGATGAAGATTCAATTCCTGGAAACCAAGTGGTTGCTTAAAACTATCTGTTATTCCAGCTCCAGAAGATCAGACTCCCTCTTCTGACTTCCATTGGTACCAAGCTTGTACATAGGGCACATAAATATATATATATATATATATATATATATATATATATATATATATAGGAGAGGAACTCATACATATTCAATAAAATAAATATTAAAAATTTCCCTAAAGATGCTTTTACTCTTTACAGAAGAACTATTAATTAACACAATATCCAATGGTTGAGGGTGTATAAATTCAGTTTAGTATGTGAAATACAGTTCTGTGGCCACAGAGATACCCCCAAAATCATGTACATCACTAAATTAGTGATATGTTCTCACAAAAGTGAGAGAGATAATGGCAATGATGGTGGTGGCAATGATGGGGATGACAATGATGATGATGATGATGATGATGATGATGATGATGATGATGATAAAGACATAGAAATATCTCATATATCATAGGAGTCAATGCATACAGGAATCAATGCCTAAGCAGCACATCAATTGCATTCTACTATGTCCAAAACCATGTCCATATCTTTTTTGTATTCAGTCTCAGAAATGGTGTTATAAAAATATACAAAGCTCCAATAATATAGTGATGCTTCCTGACAGAATGACACCATGGCTTTCATACACAGAAAAGGTTGCTGGGTTCATAAAAACCAGTTACTCATGAGGAAGGAGGTGGAGTTAAAACCACATATGTGAGGCTCTGCATTCCTAGACTTCAGGTGGACATGTTTGCTGTTTCGTATGGGAAATCATTTTTCCTATTCAGATTCTCACAATATATTTTCAAATAAATATGTATAATTAATATATCCAAGTTGTCACACCAGTTTTGCAAATGAATTATTTTAGAAGGAGGTCTTTATTGCACACATCATATCACAAGTAATTTTCATAAAATTTAGTGATACAGTTACATTGATGATCCTCACAAGTCCTTGCTTAAAGAAGTAAAAGACAATTTTTAGTTAAATGTATTCATTTATTTTGTAGCTGGACCACAGTTTCCACTCCCATCTCTCCTCCTATTCCCTCCCCCCACCTCCTCTCTGCCCTGCCTCAGAATCCATTCCTCTATTCAGAAAGGGGCAGGCCTCCCATGGGAGTCAACAAAGTGTGGCATATCAAGTTGAGGTAGGACTAAGCTCCTCACCTTGTATTAAGGCTTGGTAAGGCAACCCAGTATAAGGAATAGGTTCCAAAAGGCCTGCCACAGAGTCAGGGACAGGTCCTGCTCCTACTGCTAGGAGTCCCACAAGTATACCAAGCTATACAACTGTCTCACATATGTAGACATTTGAAGGCAAATTAATGGAATTAGAAAAAAAAAAATCATCCTGAGTGAGATAACCCAGACCCAGAAAGACAAATACTGTATGTGCTCACGCATAAGTCGATATTAGCTGTAAAGTAAAGGATAACCATGCTACAGTCTACAGTCTTAGAGAGGCTAGGTAACAAGGAGGGCCCAAAGAGGGACACGAGGATTTCCCTAGGAAGGGGAGATAGAAGAGATCCCCTGGGTAAACTAGGAGTGGGTGGGCAGGTGGGAATGAGAACATGAGGGATCAGGTTGGGGATGTGATGGGGGAGAATAATGAAAGAGATGTCTTGATGGGGGTGCATTTTGGGGTCCGGTGGAAATCTGGTGCAAGGGAAACTCCCATGAGTTTGCAAGGATGTCCCGCGTCAAGATTCCTTATCAGTAGTGGATAGATACCCTGAACTGGCCTTCTCCTGTAATCAGATTGATGAAAGGCATTTTTAAAACTTACTTAGACTTTCTAAAACTCTCTAATATGTATGCAGAAAATGATTTGAAAATTTAATTGGAGTGAAAATATAGCTGCTCTTTTCTTTTGCTAGAGAACAAGCTAAAATAAAAAATGACAGAAAGTAGAGAGGCAAGCAGTCATTTTACGTGAAATTTGCGTAGCATCCCTTCTAGATGGGTGCAGGCTCAAATGTTTTCTTTACAGATCTGTTAACCATGTTTTATTTGCCAGATAGGGATGTACTAGGGCTCCAGTGGTGATGAAAACAAGTGATGCTGAAAGGAAACAGAAAATGGTACCTTGTAGACTGTTGCAAAGATGAAATGCCAAAAAACTAGAATAGCATGTGGCAATTGGATATTTAAGTTGAAACTCCAAGAATGCTAGATGTATAAACGTGTTAAGAGACCATTTCGGCAGAAACAATAGGATGTCCAAAGGCTCAGAAATGAAATAAAGTTTAAATTATTGAAGGAATTGAATGCCAGTCAGTTAAACTGAATGGAGAAGGATATGAAGGAGTAAGTTGCTAATGTGAATCTGTAAACTAGGAAGTCCCAAATTGTAGAGGCCTGAAAGAGACACCAAGGTCTTTTAAGCTGAATACTGATATGCAAGGTTTGCTGTGTCCCATAATTTTTAAAATAATGTAGAATTCAGAGAAAACAAAACAAAACAAGAATGCCATTTTCTAGAATGACAAGTTTTAATGTTAGACACCCCACTGTGATGCCCAAAGAAGCAGTGACCTGAGCAGTCATAGGTGAAACAGACCTAGGTTATTTTGATGCAGGTTGTTTGGGAACTATACTTCCATCCTTTCACTCATTAATCCGCTGAAATTAATAAAGTATTCACAGTGTAGCAGGCACACCTTTCTGGATACACAATAGTGATTAAATATTTAATCTTTTTGCTAATAAAATGAAATGTTTGTCCAACAGACCAAGTTATGCCATTTCTGAGTATGACTTGGCTAATCTACTTTTATACATGACTCGTTCACTATTAGACAAGTGGATTTTCAGCCCATGTTCATTGCTATAAAATATTAAGTAATGTCATCTGTTCAAAAATAGTTCTTGTTTTGTTTGATCTAATTAATTATCTGGTAAGACAAGGTCTTCCTCAAGTTGGGTTATCATCGCCCACTGCTACAAACAGCTGGAGTTCATCTAAACTTTATAAATCTTGACAAATAGAGAGTAAATGCTGATCTCCAATCTCGAAGTGAGTTAAGGAAGGGGGTGTCATCAATCAGCAGGAGCCCCAAGCTGAACAGAAAGCACCTACTGCTGATGGATCTGTGATTTCCTTTTATAAGGACAGCATGAAGTCACTTTTGTTATCATCATCGCTATTACAGAAATAAACTGAATTTGCTGTAAATCTATGTACAGACAATGTGCCTGACTATGTTGTGATGACAGTGTAGTTTATTACCATGTTTATTGAAAACCAGTGTGGTGATATTTTTCAATTGCAGTTTTCTACCTATTTCGTCTCTAAGCAAATTACAGCATCACGGGTGATTACTAAGATTTGTCTTCATCTCGTCACAATGATTTACACAAAACTAAAATCCTAGCTCTTTACTAAAATAAGATTATTCACTGTAAAGCAAGCATTTTACTGTTTCTCTAAATTGGACAACAGAACACTTCAGGATAGAAAATGTTAGTGAATTTCTCTATAATTCATAAAACTTAAAAGTTCTGAACTCACAAGTTCATCCATTTTTCAGTAAGCACAATGCAAAACACTTAAAAATATAGCAATAAATGGTAAATATTACGATATAGACAAATGAGGAAAAACCACACAGAATGTCTAGAATTTAAATCAGTTGACCTTGACTATTAATGTTAATATGTTTCATTATAGAACAACATGGAGAATCATAAGAAACAACATGGTTATAAATGTAGTCTAAAAAAATGAGAAAATGTACCTTACCTTCAAGAATGAAAAATCTACTGCATCATCTGACACACATACATCCAAGAACATAACAAGAATAACATACTCTTTCTTGAGATTCATCTGCTTGAGAGATTCTGCCTTATTGACAATTTAGAAGCAGGCAATGGTAAATTTAATTTGTGAGACTCGATATTTCTTCTGTTTTCCAGGACGCACCTAGACACCTCGACTGAGTTGCGATATTCAGTTGGCTCTCTTGTGGACAGCCAGTCTGATTACAGAACCACTAAAGTAATCCGGAGGCCAAGGAGAGGTCGTATGGGTGTGCGAAGAGATGAGCCAAAGGTAATTCTTTTCTTCCGATGTTATTCATTGCTGTAGCTAAATATACAATGCTATTCTAGATAGAATTTATATTAGAAGAGAATCCCAAATACCAGCATCAACTTTTGAGGTTAAAAAATGACATATTGTAAAGTTAACTAATGTAAGGCATCTAATATGTACTGGAGTTTTCCTATTTATTTATTTATTTGTCACTATTAATTGTATGCAATTTTTATAATAATTTCAGGAATTTTAAGATTTAGGAAAAGAAAAATTTAAGTGTTCCACAGTACAGAGCTAGCACACTGATTGATTCAAAATTGGAGTTAGATGTAGGTAGCTAATGAGAGATACCATGTTTTAACCACTATATTGTATTATATTATATTATATTATATTATATTATATTATATTATATTATATTATATTATATTATATTATATTATATTATATTATATTAATTATATTATATTATATTAATTATATTATATTATTATATTATATTATATTAATTATATTATATTGCCAAGCAAATGGATATTTGGTGTACTTGAATTCTTGAGTACTGACATATTTTTACCTAAAATTAGGAAAACGTTTTGTTAAAAGTTGCTATTTTAAAACACGCTTTCAAAAGTATGTACAGTCTTAAAAAGTGCCTTGGAAGACCTGTTCAAGAGAAACTGTGACTCTGTCCTTTCAATCAGTAACTTTTTATGTTTAACTTTTAAAACGTCATATGTGCATACTATGTTTACATCATGTCCACCACTGCCTCTCCCTGATTTACCTCTTCCCAATTTCCCTACTCCTTCTCAAATGTATGGCTTCTTCTTTAATTATTATTGCTACATAGGTATATATGTATATTCAAAACAGCCTTTTGAGTCCATCATTCCATATTACAAGAGACCTGGAGTATCACTTATGTTATGTCACCCTAATTACAGAACATACATTAAACATATAGACTATGTTAAGGACAGTATAAAAGAATACTTTTTTTTGAGAATTTCAGATATGAGTACTATATTTACGTAAAATTTCCTCTTCCTTCTCTTTCTTCAACTCCTTCTGCACCGCTTCCCCTTTCTCAAATTCATAACTTCTTAATTATTATTGATATACACATATACATACATATTTACAGCTATAACCCGCTGAGTTGTTTGTATGTGTTTAGGGCTGACCTCCTGGGACTGGACAAATTGCCAGAAGGTTTGTACCAAGTGAAGACTGATTCTCTCTCAGCAGCCACTATTTGCATGGAACACTCCATCCAGGGGTGGGACCTTGTGGGATCTCCCTAGCCCATGTTAAAATGTCAGCTGGTGCTGTCCCTGTGCTGGCATTCTTGAGACAAACCTATTACTGAGATTCAGTGGGGTAATAAACTTTTGAGTCAGGTTTTTGTTTAATCAATACAGCTGTATACAAAAGTGGCACAGTTCCTCTGTGCCCTAAGTATGTTTTGTTCAGACAACCATTTATACATATTCAAAATATTGTTCTTTTTTTCATTAACAGGCTCTTAATGCTTTTGGTTGATAACTGGTATCAATAGGTCACATGTAAATTAGTCTATCACAGTAGCATCCAACATTTGTGGAAAACAGAAAATACAAACGAACAAATAAAAACAAGATAGTCTCAGTTTTCAGATTCATTGTTTTAATACAAGTATCTGATTTGTTCACTTATCACTCAGGTGAAATCTCTTGGGGATCATGAATGGAACAGAACTCAGCAAATTGGAGTCCTAGGCAGCCACCCGTTTGAGAGTGACACTGAAATATCCGATATTGATGATGATGACAGAGAAACAATTTTTAGCTCAATGGATCTTCTCTCTCCAAGTGGCCATTCTGATGCCCAGACTCTAGCTATGATGCTTCAAGAACAGTTGGATGCAATCAACAAAGAAATAAGGTATCAAGAGCTTAGATAACCTTAGTACTTAAAACACGTTTCTAAACCTGTGAGGCTTGGCATCTCCTGGTGCCTTGTTAGGCCTGCAGAATATCAGTCTCCCTCATGACTGCTGTTGGAGAATGTGCCTTATTACAAGATGCACTCTCTTCAAAGAATATACGGAAACATACAGACTAATGATGTTAAGGATGATGTGAAAGAATAATTTTTATGTTTTGGAGAATTTTATATATTAGTACTATATTTATATCATTTCCTCTCTTCCCTTCTTTCCTTCAGCTCTTCCTCTGTCACTTCCACCCCTTCTCAATTTCATAGGTTATTTATTAATTTTGATATATGAATATATATAGAGAGACAGATTTATAACTATAGCCTGATGAGTTCATTTATTTTTGCTCATTTAAATACGTGTGTATGTATGAATGTATATGTGTATGCATACGTGTGTGTGTATGCATATGTGTGTGTGTATGTGTGTGTGTATGTGTGTGTGTATGTGTGTGTAAAGATGACTAGTCAGAATTTGATAATTTATTGGAAAACTAGTCCCTGAAGAAGACTGAATCACTTTCTCTCAGCAAATATTAGTTTCCTGTAGCTCTTCATCTAGGATTGGGATCTTGTGATATTTCTCCTTTACCCTTTGGTGACTCAATTGGTATTGCCATTTTTTTGGATCTTATTTAAGGAACCATATCTTTGAGGTCTCATTGGTGCAACTTCACTGTCATTTACAGAAGAAACTATCTACCCGACATCCTTGTTCTCTGGCTCTTAGGATATTCCCTCCTCTCATCCATGATGCTTCCTGAGCCTTAGATGAAAGGTTGTATTGTACATAAGTCATTTGGGTCGTGAAACCCATAGCAAGTTTTTCTCTGCATTTGGAGTAGTTGCGGCTCTCTGTAATGTCCCCCATTAAACAACACTGATGAGGGGAAAGAGCTATACTTAGCTGTGTGTCTAAGGATAGTGCTAGAGTGCAGTTAGACATTACACTGTTTTAGGAAAGTAGATAGCAGGCTGTCTTCTAGGGTTGAGGTTTTCACTAGCTATTGGTTTGGGGAACAGGTTTACAATACCAGACATAAATTCCCTCCTATTGAGAGACTCTTAAAGTTCAAATAGACGGCTGTTACACCTCTTGAGATATCTTGTCTTTCTAATCGTTGTTGTTTATAGGTGTTCCAGCTGGATAGAACTATTGACTGATTTCTCCCTTGGCAGTTTGAGTAGCTCCTTCTGGTACTGTGGGAGCTACCAGGGAAGAGTCTTCAAGATCAGTTCCAGCTCAGTTCATTCAAGTGCTCTGTCCAAATTGTCTGGCTATTTTAGAAATCAGACATAAGCTTCAAGTTTGGAAAGGCAGTCAAGGACATTGGCAAAAGCCTACATTGTTTTGAGTTTCTGTTGGCTCCTGGCCAACAACTCAAAAGAAGGATTTCCCATGACTTTTGGAGGGATCACTGTTATTCTGAGTGGCCTAACTTCTTTTAAATTACACACACACCACACACACACACACACACACACACACACACACACACACACACACACACACATGTTTAAGCAAACATAAAATAAAGTGACTCCCCATGGATTTCAGAACGTCCTAGGTGCTATTATTCCAACTTCCTTCCTCTCTGTGAGTTGCTCTCCCTCCCCTCTTCCCAGGTAACTCTCCCCCACAATTCTCATTTTCTTCAGTGTCCCTTTTCATTTTTCTGGTATCTGTGGCTGCTCCAGGTTATATACTCACATCTAAAAGTTTGGAATTAAGATCCACAAATTAGAAAGTGCATGCATTACTTATCTTTCAGGGTCTGGGTTATTTCACCCAGTGTAATGTGTTCTCGTTTCAACCATTTACCTGAAATTTTCATGTTTTCATTATTCTTTGTGGCTTAGAAAATATCTGTGCAGTAAGTCAAAGGTTGCTTATTTAATGGTTTAGATCATTCACATTTCTAATGTATATTTAGATACCTGTATTCTGGATGGTTTCATCACCTTTGTGGGCTACTATTTCTTCAAACTATAAAGATATTAACAATGGTACCTACCACAAAAGGCAATGAAATGTACAGAATCCTAATACTAGAGGAAAATATACTAATTTCTTGTAATTTTATTGATGTTTAATGCCATTTTAAAAGCATCATTTCTTTTCATTTAATGTCAATGTAGCATGTATTAGTTGGCCTGGGCTACTATATATAAAATGGCACCAACTGAGTAAGTAAATACAAAATTTTATTTCGTCATGGTCTGGAAGAACATGAAATTCAAGGGTAAGGTTCTGGCTGGGTTTAGTGTCTAGTGACGGCTCTCTTCCCAGCTTGTGGGAAAGGCTAAGTGGCAGGGAGGTAGAGAGATAAGTGAGACAAAAGAAAGAGAGCAGAAGAGTAATTAACTCTTTCAAATTCAGGTCTCACCCTTATGACTTCCTAAAGTTTTCATCTGCAAAAATCCAGGCTTCTTTGGGATCTCAATACTATTGGTAGAGAGATCTGTCCGTTGCAGAGCGTATACTAACAGCAGTATATTTGTACTTCCCTGGCAGAACTAGAGATTTGAAAATTAATTATTTCTTTAAATAATGGTATAATCTAATGCAGATACTTCTATTCTTAGTAACAAATATTAAATTCTATCAGTAACTAACACATGAAAAGACAGATTGCTTTTATACTTGAAAATGATCTGCTTGCTGGATTCAGCGGGGCCTGAGACTTGTCTTGCAATTTGTTTCAAAGTGAAACCCAGTTTGACATACATTTCTTTTGAAAATTAATTAGGGCTCAGTGGTATGATCATCTACTGTTCTCCCAGTGGCCCAGGGTTTGATTCCCAGCACCCACATTATGGTTCACAGCTAACTGAAACTACAGTTCCAGGGAATCTGATACCCTCTTCTGGCCTCCACTGGCACCAAACATGGACATCCTGCATAGATGTAGTCACACACATAAAATAAAAATAAATTTTAAAGAAATAATTAATATTCCTTCTATCTAAAGGTTAAACATCCACAAATTTGTATCTCAGTTCATAAACAATTGGACTAATCAATGACTTAATTTTTTAATTTTACTCCAATATATTTCAAATTGGACCTAGGTTTTATGTGGATTTCTTTGGAAAATTAATTACTATTACTTACATCTGTAAGTCAAAATTTTCACACACACACACACACACACACACACACACACACACACACATATATATTTTTATATATATAAGTTCTTGGCCAATCAGATTGATAATGAAAATTTCTTCCTATATTTAGGTAATACATGGAAAACTTCTAATTCATGTACATTCCTAAAATATGAAAAACTTAACATATGTGGAAGATATATTTTAATTTAATGCCATAGCTTGAATAGTCTATCTATCTTTTTATGTTCTGGATTTGTGTGTGAGAGAGCGAGAGAGAGACAGAGACAAAGACAGAGACAGAGAGAAAGACAGAGAGAGAGAGAGAAGGTTGGCTTTAACCTCATTATTATACCACATCTCTCTGTCACCTAAGAAGTGGGATTATAGGCATATACCACCATGCCTGGTTCATTGTTGTTTTGTTTGTTTGTTTGTTTGTTTAATTCAGAGACAATGAAACATATAGAAGTTGTGTTTCAATTACAAATAGTTCATAGTAGAATTGAAAATGTTTTATAATTTACACATTATATGCAGAAGAGATCATTGATGTTGATATTTTCCTTGTGCAACAAAAGATGTCAAACTTGAAATTCCAAGAATACACCACAATAATTTTAAAGAAAATAAAAACAGATGTTTCTTAATCATAGCCAGTAATTCCATGCAGTTTTTTTCAAAAGAAAACGGAAATGCTAGATTTGAAGCAAAATTTCACAGTACTTAACTAAGTAATTTATTAGGAGAAATCCACTTGCCACTAGCAATCTCATAATGGAAACAAAAATTAATTCTACCTTCTAGGTTAATTCAAGAAGAGAAGGAATCTACAGAACTGCGTGCCGAAGAAATTGAGAATAGAGTGGCTAGCGTAAGCTTGGAAGGCCTGAATTTGGCAAGGGTCCATCCTGGTACCTCCATCACTGCCTCTGTTACAGCTTCATCCTTGGCCAGTTCTTCTCCCCCTAGTGGACACTCAACGCCAAAGCTCACGCCAAGAAGCCCTGCTAGGGAAATGGACCGCATGGGAGTCATGACTCTGGTAATGATATCATATCCAGAGCAACTTGAATTGTTGTTATTCATTCTTTAGCTACAGTTTATTTCTTCTCATCTGGTTTTCTGTGTTTTTTATTGTCTCTTTACACATGTAAATAATTTGTAAATTTGTTCACCACAACAGCTGTTTGTGGTAGTTACTAGTTACCATCATTTGCCCTTAACTGTGAGGAAACTATCTCAAAGTCACTCGGAAGGCAGGGGTCTAAATACACATCAGAAATTTGAGTGACTTAAACCACTAAGTATCTTTTAACAGACGAGGAATACATCAGTAACTTTGAAAAATATAGCTAATAGCAACAATTACGTGCTGTAATAAACAGAGATAAAAAATGTATAATTTTGCAGTATATAATTTCTAGAAAAGCTGCCAAAACAGCGGCATCACTTATTCAGTGTTTCTTTTTATGTTTCGTATAAACACTTGCACATTTGCTTTTTGATTTTTTTTTTCATTTATTGTTACATTTGGATATTTAAGTCAGGAAGTGCACTAGAAAGAACTGGAAGGATTCAGGCCACATATTAAAAGTAATATATTTAAAAAAAAAAAAGCCTCTCTTCAATTTCACTGGACTGACTCCTGCATGCTGCAAGGTGTGGTCATTTGCTGCCCATCACAGCATGAGCTAAGAGAAGCACTTTCTCCGTTTAAGGGAAGAGATAACTAACGCTTTGACAGCAGAGATAAACTGCCTTTGCTAAAATGGAGCTGAGTTTTCCTAAACTTTGCTTAACTACAAAATGATATAACGCTTTGATCTTGACATTAGGTGAATAAATTGAAAACATTGCAAAAAATGAGGTAAAGTACTGTTTCTTTGATGAAGATTAAAATTATAAAATTCCAACTAAAATGGAACAATTCAGTGACAGAAACGAATTGAACTAGAAATAGATAATACACACTGTAAAATCTACCCAGCTGTAATAAAATGTAGAAAAATTAATGATACCATAGATTCACCTAAATTATATGTAGCATGTATGGCCAGAAGACCTCGAAGTCACTATGAGATTATATACTGCCCTTGACTATATGTGTTTATAAGCCCCCCATCTGAATAAAGAAGTCCAATTCAATGTCTAAATTTAACAGTCATTGTTCTTAAATAATGCACAATAAGTTAATAATTTTGAAATATTTAATTTTTACAGTTAATTTATATAAATACATGTATGATTTTATGAGTCAAATTTGCATATGTATAGAGATACATACATATTTCTCACCATAGGAAAAACAGTCATATAAGTAAATGAAATTTTACTGTATGTTCAAGGTTTTAGTTCACCATCATGAAACTTATTTTATATAGAGAGTTTAGATATTATTTCCTTTTATTTTGAAATTGGGAACTGAAACAAGACTATCTACTATACTTTTGGATGTCTCCAGGACATCACCAGCCAACAACTCAAAAGGAGGTATCCCATAACTTGCAATGGGTTTTACTTGGTAGCTTATGGCTTTAAGGAAGAGTATTATCCCATCTGTAAACTATTCATAGGAATATGTATACATATTTAGGTAACTTATGAAATTCTATGTTTTGACATAATGTCTTCGAACATCCTTGTGTTAGTTAATTCCTCCATCACTTCTTCCTCTGCTCTCTTTTCCCAACTCCCTGCTACTTCCTTTTATCTGCTTCCTATATTCTATCAACCTCATAATAATACAATATTTATGATAATTTAGGTGTGAGACTTTAGTGCATAAGACAATCCTTGAAAGAAAAACAGCTATATTAATATCCATGCCAGAAAAGTAATATATGTAATCCAGAAAGTCTTTACTACTCAATAAAAACTCTATTAACCAACCTCACTATTTTTATAAAGATCTTTAGTTAGATGTTCTTTAACCTACATACAATGTTGGAGGAAAAATATAATCTTTTTGGAAATTGTTTGAATATTATATATTCATTATTAGGATGATTAATGGTATATATTCAGTAAAGAATGGAAAGAAGAAAAATGATAGCCAAGCTATAGATACTAGCCAAACTGTAATATCATCAAATGGTAATCATTAATTAGTAATTTTTTTGTTTCTTTTATTACTGCCTGTTTCAGCCAAGTGATCTAAGGAAACATCGGAGAAAGGTACTGTAAATAACTTCTACATGTTTATTACTTGACCATCTTTTTTTTTTGCTAAAAAGCAGCTAAAATACTATTGTCAAAATTGTTTTATTAGCATATCATATAAATATTGATGCACTTATGTGTTACTGAGTTTTAACATATGATCATAAGAGCAAATATTTTAAAACCATATTGTTTCTGGTTTCTAAGCAAAGATTCCATTATGAGAATTAACTCGTATTCGTCAACCATGGCAGAGTGTGATATCATAATATCAATATTAGAACAGCGCTGGTTGTTTTCAGTATTTTTCACCATGCATTGCTTTTAATGTCGGATTTATTATTACTCAGTGATGATGAGCCAGAAGATCTTGCTACAGCTATCAATGACAATGAAACAGTTCTTTACCAGATTGAAAAGAAGAGGGGAAATTCCCTGAGAAAGCAGAGGGTAGCCAAGAGGCATGAGTAAGATGAAAACGTAGCTGCTAGGAGTCATTTTGAGGTCTCTTACAGCAAATGAAGAAAAGGCAGGTTAGGCAAGTTTAGGATTGATAGAATGAGACCAAGTGGCATGTGGTGTCTAACATATGGCCCTGGGCAAATTGAGGCAGAATATCACTACAACAGGAGAATAGACAATGATTTTCAGCAGAGTCTCCAAGTTGATGGGTTTTCATATAAGATTACTTACACGGAGTTTGCTGTCTCCACATATTAGTTAGCCTTGAAAGAAAACAGTCTCCAGATGTCAGGAGCGCAACTAGAAGCCCAGCCAGGATAGGTATTTACTACTAAAGCTGAAGACATCAGAACTCACATGGAGGAAGGAGAGAACAAAGAATAAATTCATGCAAGTTGTCATTTGACCCCGACATGCACACTGTGGTACATCCAAGACCACACACACACACACACAGAGAGAGAGAGAGAGAGAGAGAGAGAGAGAGAGAGAGAACGAATGGATGAGTGAATGAATTTATATAGAAAAAAAACCAGTTGACTGAAAACACTGACCATTTTCTTGATTATGAGACAAAATCAAGACACTTAATCTAATATGACTTTAATGTGAGAGACAATGGACTCTATTTGGAGTCACCAAGTTCCATTTTATTTGATAAATGAGAAGAGCAAAGCATTCAGTCATTGGCTGTCAAATGGGAAAGATTTCAAAGTCACTCTGACTTACAGTGTCTTCCAGATGAGGAGGCCGGGGGCTGTGGAGATAGCTCACCCATTGAGAACACCTGCTGCTCTGAAACACTGGAGTTTGGTTTCCAGCACTTATATGATGGCTCAAAACATCAATAACTCCATTTCAAGAGGTTTTAATAACCTCTTCTGGCCTCTGCAGGCCCCTGCACATTCATATATCCAGAGAAAATGGTCATACACATGAAATAAAAACAAATAAATCTAAAATATCTGAATTCAGAAAATATCATTATTTCCTTAAGGAAAACTATGTTACAACTACATGAATTAAATTGATAGAAATTTATTTTCTGTTTACTTAGTTATGACCCATCTATAGGAACAAATATCTATATATAACTACATAGTACATATAAACATCTATTATATATGTGTATTGATATATAAATATAGGACACATATATGACTATAGTGTCAACTTAACACTCAACAATTGACTCTAAGTGATCAAATTTACCTTATATAGTTCATCAACTTTTAACTTTCTCCACCTGCTATAAAGTATCTAATACAATTATTATTATCATTATTATTATTTTGATTTTTTAAGACAGGGCCAGAGATCCACCAAAAATGTCAATCCTCAGCATCAAACTATCCTGTTTTCTTTTTTGTTTTTTTTGAGACAGGGTTTCTCTGTGTAGTTTTGGTGCCTGTCCTGGATCTCGCTCTGTAGACTAGGCTGGCCTCGAATTCACAGAGATCCATCTGGGTCTGCCTCCCGAGTGCTGGGATTAAAGGTGTGCGCCACCACTGCCTGGCCTACAATTATTAATTTAGAAAGAAATCTAAGGAGAGAAAAGATTGAAAAAAAAATAGCATGAAGTTTCAGGTCTTCATCATATATAGCAACCTCTACATACAGTACACTCAATGCAGAAACAAGTAAGGTAGTTCTGCATAATACAGCTTTAAGTGTATGCTGTTGCTACATAAAAACCTCTCATGTGAATTTCCAGTATCATATATTCATAGCAATTTTTCCATAACTTTGATCTATATATGTTGTGTTATGCAATGATAACACTGATTTTTGCCAAGTTTTTAAAATCATCATTGTTTTTTCTTTCTCTGATTTTTTGGAGTAGTTTTCCAGGATTCTGAACAACATTGTTCTTTATTAACATGCCTCTCATCTTTTCTGGATTTTTGTTTTTTGCATATTTTTAAAATTTCCCATTACTCAGAGTGACATTGAACAATTTTTAGCAATTATGTTCTTACCTTTCATTTTTCTCACTGGGAAAAAAATATTTTTCTTATAACCCACTGCACATTTTAAACATGTTTGGTATAGATTTCATTATATTGACTAATATAAAGTACTTTGTCTGATAAATCATATCTTATCAAGTTGTCCTCCCCTTTTTTACACACCTACTTAAGGGTATCTTTGTCATGCCTTACTAGGCATACCATCTTTTCCTCAATGAAGTTTGTTTAGGGTCTTCCATAAAGAACATATGTCAACGTGGCTCAGAGGCATGCTTGCCTAATGTGAGAGGTGCTGGGTTCAGTTTGCAGTCCTGAAAATAAAAATGTGTGTATCCATCTAAGGTGAGAATAGCTTTTTATTGATATATGGCATTTTTACTCTTAAACCATATTTTATGTCATTAGCTCATTTTTGTAAAGATATATTATCTTTGCTCTTAAATAGATATGAAAATCACGTCCTTAATAATAACAGCTTGCCTGTGTAAGACATATATGTTGTGTTACAATTTTTCTAGTACCCTTACCTTAATGATGCTTCCTTTGACACAATTTCAGTTGCAATTATAATGAGCTCATTGAACGCACTGCTCCTGTTTCCAGATTGCCGTGGTGGAAGAGGATGGACGGGAGGACAAGGCAACAATCAAATGCGAAACTTCTCCTCCACCAACACCCAGAGCCATCAGAATGACTCACACGCTCCCTTCTTCCTACCACAATGATGCCCGGAGGTAAGACTCAAGCAGGATGCACATTAAACATTTTCTTCCCCAAATTCTTCCTCTTCCCTCACTGCTGTCAAATAAACTGTTAGGTTACTTATAGAAAAGTAAGACTCAAGAGAAGTCTCAATCGTTGAGTGCTAACTGCTTTAGTAGAGGACCAGAGATTGCTTCTCAGCACCTACTTCAGGCAGCTCCCCAATGCCTATAACTCAGCCTCCAAGGGATCCACCACCCTCTACTGGCTTCTGCAGGCACCTACGCTTATGTGCACAGGACTCACACAGAGATATTCATACGTGTACATGTAATTAAAAATAAAATTAATACGTACATAATTTGACTTGAAATATAATTCTCCAGCACGCTCTTTCATTGCTTTCCTTTTTTCCATATCTCTTGTGACATTTGAACTTTTTCAAGAATGTATCAAAATTTTACTTTTAAGTTAACAAGATGACACATTTATAATCTTTGTTTTTGTGACCAGTCAATGTGCCAATTACTCTTCTGTATTTAGAAGACATTTCCTATTAAATTTATGACTAGTGATAGATATTTATAGGATTTCTAGGACAAGACTATAAATGTAGAGTATATTGTAATAGAAATGAAGGTCTGAAAAATCTAGTCCTGGGCCTCTTTCGTTGCATATCTGTGCTACTGAGAAGATTCTAAGTCCTCAGATAAGAAGGCCGTAGCATTAAAATGAACACTGACAAAAATATTTTTAAAAAAAGTTGAGGAAGCTCATACTCCATAAGATTCTTCATAATGTCCTATCCAAACGGCAAAAACTTTCAAATTGGTCTCTATAATCAATAGCATAGGTCAACATTCCGTTTACGTCTTGTACACCAGACTTCTCACTGGTTATCAATAGCAGTATCAGTTCTCAACGTGCACAGAATGATTTAAAGATCAGCACATCTTCTAATTAGTAGCCTCATGCCATGTGCTTTTGAAAAGTGGGACGTCTGTGCAGACAGGCATTTTTATCGATTTGATTGGTTTCAATTACTACTTTCGAATGCATACTTCTTTATTCCTCAAGAGCAGAGGATTATATTTTTAATATGTGAAAAGTGCTTTTTTAATGGAGGTTAGATTGTAGAAATCAGATTATATTGGATGAGTACGTAAAGTTTAAAAACTGTATAGTGCAGCACGCTCTACAATGTTATAGCTGTATCTGGTGAACTCCTCTTATTAAGAGAGTATCAGACATATTGATCAGAACTCAGAATTGATCAACTATTTGGAAGTCATTTCAGTTTATTGTGCATCTAAAATAGTATTTTATTGACAGCCATATATCAGGAAGACAGTGATGAGCATTTGTATTGTGTTGTTTCTAGATCTCAGTAAGATGGCATCTATAATGAATTTGTCTCAAATTTGTGACAGAGAAAGAAAGATGGATAAAGGAACCCCCATGAAGAGATAAAAGTTAAGTTGGCAGCTTCAGTTTCACAATTAACAGATTGCCATGGGTCATTCCCTTTAAAATTAGAAGAAAAAAACTCTGAGAAAAAAACGAACCAAGTGCACAATAAAAAAGATACTAAACATACAGTTATTAAATAGGGCTAAGGTAGGTGATTAATTTGACAGTGTACAGGAATAAAAGGAAAAAGAGTTGTTTGGAACAAAATGATGGGTTTTTCTACGGAAATTTTGGAAAGCCATGGAAACAAGGAAGAAACATTTCAATAACTTAGAGAAAGATGAAGGGAAAGGGGGGAAAATCATTCAAAATCTACTTATTCCCCCTTTTTGTCACTTATAAAGGAAAGGAGCCTTGTGTACTTTGTGGATAGTGCATCAAAATGAGCCATTTCTGCTCTTTTGTGTTTTGCAGCAGTTTATCAGCCTCTCTTGAGCCAGAAAGCCTTGGCCTTGGCAGTGCCAATAGCAGCCAAGACTCTCTTCACAAAGCCCCCAAGAAGAAAGGAATCAAGTCTTCAATAGGGCGCTTGTTTGGTAAAAAAGAAAAGGCTCGACTTGGGCAGCTTCGTAAGTATGGGGCTTTCACTTTCTACTACCACTGGGATTTGTCACTTCTGAGTGTCCCGGTGATCCATTTCTCATCTCTAAGTCCTTTTCCATACCTAGTGAGCTTTCAATTTAATCAACTCTATAAACCAGTTTAGCTGACTCATGCTAAATAAAAGTTAGAGAGAAACATATTGTAAGACATTCAATTCTTTTGTTTCCTTTTTAATAGCAATAGCTGGGCTATTTAAATACTGATTTTATGAAGTTACACTGATACTGTGAACCAATCGTTATTATTGCCATCTATATTTTATTGATGAATAAAGTCTTGATAATTTCCAGAACAGAGTCCACCCTAAAAGGAGCTGGAGTGGTGGTTTGGTTGATAAAATGTCAAACATGCAGGTATGAGGACCTGAATTCAGATCCCCAGAGCACATGTAAAAGTCAGCATGGTGGCAAAATGTTTGTAACTCCAGCAGTGGTGGGGTCAGAGATAGGTGAATCATTGGAGCTCACTTCACAGGCAGCCTAACCCAAAACCGTAAACTTTATTGAGTGATTAACAATAAATAGACAAGGTAGAGAATGATTAAGGAAGACAGCCACAAGTACTTGCATGTGTACACACACACACACACACACACACACACACACACACACACACACATACACACACATATATATGCACACCTATATACTCATGTGCACTCATCTACAAGAGCATGTAGAGATACCACACAGATCCAAATGTACCAGGCAAAAAGAAACAGAAGAATATGCTGCCACTAAGAGTATCTATGAATATAAAATCTTAATTATGTGAAGTTAAAATACTTTCTGCAGAAAACAGATGAAGCCTACAAACACCAAAATGAATTCAATGTCAGACAAAATAACAAGAGGATAAAATATGAAGGATATGTAAAAGCTATCACAGTTTCTCACTAATAACTCTGAAGAATCTAGATGGGATTAGGAGTAAGAAATAAAGCATTAGAAATCTGGCTTGGATAAACTATTATCAGTGACTGATAATATGAAAACATGAATGAAATGACCCTAAGTAAGTATTTGATTATGAAATATATATATATATATATATATATATATATATATATATATATATATACATTCATACATATAGAAATTATCCAAGACTTAACAGTTGAAATTTCTGTTTTTTTAAAGATTTACTTATTTATTATGTATACAATGTTCTGCCTGTATGTATGTCTGCATGCCAGAAGAGGGCACCAGATCTCACTACAGATGATTATGAGCCACCATGTGGTTGCTGGGAATTGAACTGAGGACCTCTGGAAGAACAGCCAGGGCTCTTAACCTCTGAGCCATCTCTCCAGCCCAACAGTTGAAATTTCTAAAATGAAATATATACCTCTGGCACTTTTGAATGTTAGAATATTGTCTTGATTTTATTGGTGTTAAGAGACACCATGACCAAGGCAATTCTTATGAGAAAGAGCATTTATTTGATTGATGGCTTGCTTACAGCTTTAGAAGGTGAGACCATGAACATCATGGTGGGAAGCAAACAAGCATGACATAGGAGTAGTAGCAGAGAGTTTTTTACGTCCTGCATCCTGACCAATACACAGGGAGAGGGAGAGAGAGAGGGGAAGAAGAAGGGAAAGGAGGAGGAGGAGGAGGAGGAGGAGGAGGAGGAGGAGGAGGAGGAGGAGAAGGAGGAGGAGAAGGAGAAAAGAAGGAGGAGGAGGAGGAGGAGGAGGAGGAGGAGGAGGAGGAGGAGGAGGAGGAGGAGGAAGAAGAAGAAGAAGAAGAAGAAGAAGAAGAAGAAGAAGAAGAAGAAGAAGAAGAAGAAGAAGAAGAAGAAGAAAAGAAGAAGAAGAGAGGAGAGAGGAGAGGAGAGAGAGCTCTTCCTGTATATTCCTCTTTATAGTAAGGAAAAGACTAAATTTCTTCAAATGGTAAATGTTAGCTAGAGTGATATAGATTTCAAAATATGTTCTGGCATCACTCAGTTAGAGAAACAGTTATTTACAGGTAGTGCCCCATCACATGGGTTTTATTTTCAGCTGTAGCACCAAAGAATTTCTGCCTCTGATGTTCATGTTTACAGGTTTGTGACAGTAAAATTATTTGAAATCCTTTCCCTGGGATCCAGGGTGTGCAACCATACAAAGCAGCATAAGCTACAGAAAGCTGAGATGTACGTGACTGGGTGACTAGCATAATGGAATGGTGCAGTTGAAATCAAATCCTTGGATTTCTATTTCCCAGAAGAAGGAATTCTTAGGCAATAATATGACATAGGAAATGAAAATCTACTTTTATTTTAATTTTTTTGAAAAGCCAAATTTAAATATAAATCTACATACCAGTCAACAATGTTTGTTTTATTTAATTTGCTGTCCTATCATGGCCTTTATCAAGTTATTTTTCATTTCATTTTCAATTTCAATTGTAGTATAACTCACAATTATGCCACTAAAATGTTTATGAATATAGAGATCATTTATCTACTCACATTTTAGATATGTGCTTATTTTAGGTTGTATAATTTACTTTTTCCCTTTAAAATATTTTTAATTGTCCTTTGAAAATAAATACTTTTATACTTATTTTCAGTTGAATTAGATGAGAAAATATTAAATCATTAGGGATTTTTCCAACAAAATGGTCTTTTATCGGGATATCTAGGATACAATTTAAAACCTAGAAAATTCATCCTCCTACAAACCTAAGCTTTGTTTTACACTTTCAGAGGCTATGAATTTTTAGATCAGAATATATGAAACTATGCTTAATTATAGTTGCCATTATATCAACTCCTCCAAAGGCAGGAAGCAGCAAAACCATTTGTGCGGTCACACTATAGAATTTTTTTTTCTTCCAAAACTTCCATTGCTTAAAATAAGATCACCAAAAAAAATAAATAAATAAAAGTTGAGCTCCTAAAAACTTTAAATCACAAGTCAATTATCCTTTCATTACTCTGAAAAAAAATGTGTGACTCATCCAACAATCTGAAAATTGAAAGTATTTAATCATTTACTGAATAGGTTTATCAATCTGCAATAAAACCATATGGACCAATGAAGAATTTTATGAGCTTTAAGTCAATCGTTCACTTCATTTCCATTTTAAGAGAACACTTTTATTGTTACTATCTGATTATAAATGATAATTTATGGATGACACATGGGAAATAAAGTCAAAATATTCTGTCACCATGCATAATGGAAAATTTCAGATTTGAAAATGTTCCACAGGAGAATTTCAGTTAGCCACTGGATGGCTTTCCAAATAAGAGCCACATCATAAAACTCTTTCCTTGGCATTAATTGCACATGAATATAATGAATAAAATAAATTTGGCCTCGTATCTCCATGACGCTAAATTGAATACGGAGAGTAAATGATGTGTTTTGATTAAAGGGGACTGTCTGACATTTCTCTGGTCCAATAATAATATTATCAGCCTAAGAGTTAAGTTAATTTATATCAAGATTCTGTATTAATAATCTCTACATTTATAAATTATTGGCTAAAATAAATTATGAAAAGCAGGAGTAACGAATTTACCAGTTCATTCTGTGAATGAGAAAAACCATATCACAGTCCAGTCTTAAACTGTAAGCAAGAAGATATGCAAGAGACATGCAGGACAGTTGTCGTCAACGGTGGTTTTCTGATATATTGGTTAAATTTGGAGGATGGCATTGTTAAAAATGAAGTTATGATTAGTATTAGATCAGTAATATTTGAAGATTTCTAGTCTTAAGCTTAAATTTGACTTACATCCATTCTATTTAAAAGTATATATATATATATATATATATATATATATATATATATATATATATATATATATTATATATATACCTTCCTCTGCTTGGAAATTGTAAATAATTTTCTTTGAATATTACTTCATGTGTTTTACATAGACTAAGTATCAAAGAGAAAGAAGGGTACAGTATTGAGCCCTCATTTTTCACTATAATTAACAATTTATATGTTATGCCTTTAGGGTTTTGAAGTGAAATAGTTATTTTGTAAGATATACCTATCCATAACTGACACACATGAAATTTCTCTTATTCACACCAAGACTATGTATACATACTATTATTTTTGACTTTACTAATTCAAGTAATAAATAATAAATTAGGTGAAAATAATTATACTAAGGTCTTTTAGAAAGACTTAAACTTTTTTCAAGCTCATAAGAAAAAAAAATCAAAGCAAAAGCCATCCCAGAACACAGGGGCTGTCTGATTAAGGGTATAGGACTCAGCAGGCTGAACACAATGAGTTTCAGGGGCTCCACATGCAGAACTTTTAAAAGCCAACAAAGGGCCTCTGCATTCTTTAAACTTGGTATTGAAAGCAAACAGCTAGGTTTCTGTTCAGCAGACTGTTTCTCACTTGAAATGAAATATGACAAGTATGCTATTCAAGTATTCACTTCTACTTTGTACTAGAAAAGTCAAACAGAATGGCTTTGAGCATTGTGTACTGTACAATTGTCTGCTGGTATATATACACATATATTATCTTACACATTTATGCTTGTGAAAATAAATGAACACAGTAGATACTTCCTTTTGTATTGATTTTCTCAGTGCATTTGTATGTGAAACTGTGCCATTTGATGTTTGTTGAAGCAGTAATACAAGGGCAATCCTAAAAGAAAAAGTGTTTCTGAGTCGTTGCTCCAATAAGCCTCTGAGACTTTAGTTTCAGAATGGGCAAATACCTAGATCTTGACCTCAAATCACTTCTTCACAGGAGGCTTCATGGAGACCGAAGCTGCCGCCCAGGAATCCCTAGGCTTAGGCAAACTTGGAACTCAAGCAGAAAAGGACAGAAGGTTGAAGAAAAAGTAGGTTTGGAGAGTGTTTTTCCTCAATTTTCTAATGCTTCATTATGCTTTATCTTTTTCTTTTGCAAGGAATTTAAAAAGAAAGAAATGGAAAATAAACCCACTTAACAGTTCTGGTATCTCAAGCAACTCAGTGCTCATGTTTCATGGTGACAATGAATTGAAGTTTGAGATGAGTATAAAACTCTCCCACACAATAAACTACATAATTTAAACTAGTGACCAGAGCATTGATTTCAAAACTTAGCTATATATAATATACTGATTTATAGTACAGACAGCAATATAGACAGCACTATTGAAGTTAAATGAAGTTCTGATTTGCTATGACAAAATGAGAGTGAAATTTTGTTTCATATCATGACAATTATGTATCTAGTCTTCATAAAGGAGGATTTAAAAGGAAAAAATATTTCTCCAACTGAATATAAGCTTAATATAGGCGGGAACAGATTGTTTTGCATCTGCCAGGAAACTGATAGTGTATCTTTCCATTCACATGTAATATGGAACATTGAAATGACTTGTAAAATTGGAAGATGAGTTTCAACAGCTGTTAGAGAGGGATTCCATGAATAACATATTTTTAGCAGCATAGTAACATTTCAGTGACAAAAATCATCATCCTGAAAGCATAGGCTTTAAAAGCATAATAATTTCACTTTATTACCAAGTCCCCTTGTGAGTTGCTCTGTCTCTGCTCTCTAAACTTTTATTACGTTGTTTTAATGGTTTTTATATTTCTGCTTTCTCCTACTAAAGAACCGTCATTTCTCTAGCTATCAATTTGTGATCTGTATATTTCTACTGTTACAAACAATAGTTCAAGGTACTTCATACTTTGTCTTTCTTCTTGCTTTCCAGACATTTACCAATAACAGGAAATGTAAACATGCACATTGCAGAAGAGCTCATTAATATAATGATTTATTAGTTGGCAATTTACTGAAAATATCCAGATCCAATAGAAATGCATTCTAGAAAAACAGTCTTTGAGAGTCTTTATATCTTGAATAGGATTAAATGGCCAGTCATGGAATGTTTCTTATTTAGTTACTGATAACATAAAAATATTAGTATTTGCCATAAGCTACTTTCAATATCTTTGTTTGTATAATCCTCTTAAGGAATGCAATCTTACATTTCTTGGCTATCTGTGGTGAACATTCTATGAAGTATGATTCTTTGCTTTGTTTATATTCTGGTTAGTTTACTACAAATCAAAAAGGAAAGTGAAATTTTAAAACAAGTCTGCACAATGGACAGAATTAATTAAAAAGTATTCAAAAGCATTCCCCTTTGTATTGACTACTCCACAACAAGAATCCAAAAGCATTAAATGTAGCCGCACAGTGAGAGCTGATGTGACAAAGTGCTTACATTTATTTACTCAGTACTTTCTTGAAGCAGTTATTTTTTTTGTTCCAGCATTATCATAAATGTGATGTTTCATTGTGTATCAATTACCTTCACATTATACAGTTTCCAATTAGTTATTCTCATTACATATTAGTGGCTTGTTCTCAAGCTGCAATTCACTGATTCACATATTTCACAGATACAGTCTTAATAGTCCTCATTCAAATTTGGGTTTTTCATTATCTTCCTGCCTTCCTTCTCTTGGTCTTTAAGGGTTGAGCTATTTATTCTCAGAATTTAGTCTTCATGCAATGTTGTGACGTTTGTCATGTGAGCTCACTTGGCGTTTGTCATGATGCTTAAATCTTACCCATCATCCTGTGTCTTACTTCACTGGGTTATAGGTACATTTTTTTTTCTGTAAAATGGAAATGAAGATCTCTTCTAAAATTGACACTGAGAGCAGATAGAAATAAAACCTTTACTCTTGTGTCTGTCATCCTGATCATTAAGTACTCATTTCCTTTTCTCAGACATCCAGCCAGTTATTTAATACCTTAAGCTATTTGCTTTGGAGAACTTGAAGTTAATGCTAACCACAAAGATGTTAAGCACAACATTATAGAATAATATGGATCAGCCAAATGCTGAATAGGTCACAAAAAAAAAACAAACAACAACTCAATTTCTAAGTAAGGTTCAACTCATCCAAATTTTAGGTGAAATCTGGATTTGGCTAGTGTAGGGTCCTATCTTAGTTGTTCTTGTTGCTGTAGCAAAATACCTAACATCAAACATTTAAAAAAGGAAAAGTTCATTTTGGTTGACAGTTTCCAGGGATATGTCCTTAATGTTGGGGAATGTGTATTGGTAGAAGTAGGAGGCAGCTGGTCTCATTGCATCTAGAGTTAGGAAGTAAAAAGTGATCAATACTGAGGCTCGACTTATTCAAAAGAGGAACTCAGCCCTTGGAAATGCACCACCCACATTTAGGGTTGGTCTTCCCACTCCAATTAACCTATTCTAAAAAATCTCTCCAATGCATACCCAGTGGTGTGTTCTCATGGTGATTCTAGATTCCGTCAAGTTGACTGCTAAGTTTAACCATCCCTGATCCAATAAATAGAAACTGTCATCCTTGCCTAAGTTCAGAATTTATCTGATAATAAGCAAAGAAGTCAGACAATTTCAGATCAGATGTCAACATAATGCTATTAAAACAGGGCTTATATGTCTGACAAGTTTGCATATCAGTTAAAGAGCTGCTAGTCACAATCTTTTAAAGTCTCCGATATAAACGCTATGTCATCTTAATGTGAGAGTTTACAATTTTATATGATAATATGATGCACTAAAGACAATAACTATTGACAAATGAAAATCTGTGTTATTAGAATTCTTTCCTGTAAGAGTATTTTGGAAAAAGTGTTAATTATATTTTACTATTATTTTGTCAGATTTTATACTCTCTACACTCTCTCAGAATATATTTAGCTTTTAGTTTTCATCTGTCCATCCTTAGAAATATGATAGCAGGGTGAGTGCCTAGTTACCTAGGTATTGAAGATATGAAAATATACTTTACACTTAAAAACTAAGTAGTAATTGCCAAAGGTTCAGAATTATTGGTTTAAAAATATTCTCGCCGGGCGGTGGTGGCGCACGCCTTTAATCCCAGCACTCGGGAGGCAGAGCCAGGCGGATCTCTGTGAGTTCGAGGTCAGCCTGGGCTACCAAGTGAGTTCCAGGAAAGGAGCAAAGCTACACAGAGAAACCCTGTCTCGAAAAAACAAAAACAAACAAACAAAAAAAAATATTCTCAATATTTTTAACTATTCTTCTTCCAGTCATATATAATGTTAATTATCATTCTTTGCACCTAGTATGCAGAACTTATTTTCCCATCTTTTCATGCTTTGGTGGCTTTTAAGACCTTTTGGATGGGTCTAATCTTTGAGGTTCTAGAATGCTTTTAATATATGTCTACTTATTTATATATTGTAATGCCAAAGGGCCATGTGTGTGCTGGAAAGGTACTTTAGCAATGACCTATATCCCCAGCCATCATGCATTTTATGTATATTTCACTTTTCTTCTTTATATTTTCATTCAGTAGAGCTGTCAGACTAGATCAGTTAAAATTTATTGACCCAAAGGGTTTGCATTTGTAGTGTTTTCTCCCATGTCCAGAAACTTATTACTGACAGGACTAAAGCTAAAGATGTCTGCTTGAATAATCAAACCTGTCTAACTTCAAACACAACAGTGAGTAAGCAAAATAGGATACTTTAAAACCAATAGAAATGTCACTCAGTGGATATTCATCTCCAGAAACACTAATCATTGAAATTATAGCTTAATCGTTATAGTTATATTTTCCCAAGCCTTCTAAACATTGCATCATTTTTAGTGAAATATATGTATGTGTGTGTGCTAAAAATTGCCTATACCTTGATGTATAATTTGAAAAATATTACATGAGGTTTGACACACTGAGTAATTTATTATTTTGTTCCTCAGTTATAACATTAACAATATGTTATTATTGCAGAGTTTAGTTTTCTACATCCTCTTGAATGGATAACACTGCTAAGTGAACATTAATTTTGTATTTGGATCAATATTTCAACATCATTAAAATGAAATTAATGCTCCAGTTCAGCTATCAATAGCATCCTCTCCAGAGAAGTAGCTTTATCCTTGGAGCATGGCAATCAAACTTAATCACCACCAATGAATCTTTATATTAGAACTTCAAAGAGCTCAAAGTGAAGCTCTGTAGATTTGGCTAATTTATTCTCATCACAGTCCTCAGGCTCTACTTACACACATAATTTTTATTATGTTTTGAGATGCTGTACTTTTAATCCTTGGCATTTGAAAGGTTCAGAGTGAGCATATCTCTAAGCAAAGTAAATGTCACTTAAATTATTCATACTCTAAGGTACCACAAAACTCCGCAACATTTTTCATTCAATAAATATTTATCCAGTGACTACGTGCCAATTTTAAGTTATAAATGCATTGTAGTCAAGAACTTGTGTTCAAAGATGTGAACATGTTTTCTTTTAAGTGGTGCTGTGTACATGGAGGGTAAACATTTGAGCTTCACTCACTTAAGTCCATTTTCTAGGTAGACTATAGAAATGGATGTTAGTTACATAAAGCATAAAAAGGGGATCAACTGGCTAGGTACCAAGCCTCTCACAGAGCCATCCCTGAGACATCAGAGCCAAGGTACTTCCAGACGACACAAAGAGATCACATTTCTGCAGTGTGCTTTCATAAGCACCTTCATTCTTCCTTATTCTATTTGAGTCTTGAAACCCAGTTACACTATGCACAGCAAGGGTTTGTACTTCAGTCAATATGTTGCTGTCAAGGGTTCATACAATCACTAGGGATCTGATGGTGGACAACTCACTCAAGTCACCTATTATAGTACAACTTGAGGAAACCAAATCCAATAGTTCTCTTGGAAAATATGTTCCAGTTTCCTACTCAGAGCTCAGAGTGTGACTTTATGCCTGTGCTGGGACCAAGGTATCATTTCAGAGATCTGTTGTGCTCTAGCCAAAGACAATCAAAAGCCTTTCTTGCACCTAAATAACATGATCCAGAGACAAACAGTGAAAATAATG